AATTTTTTTTTTGGGGAATTGTAATCCCCTTTGTGCGCAAAACGACCCCCACTGAATCGGGGTCATGAACGAGTCGTTTCGTTTTTCCCCAGAAGCTCATTTCACTCTCAAAACCACAAGTTCATGGGTATATATGGGACTTTCTCCAAATGAGAATAGATATACACACCATAGAGAGTGACACATATCATCTATGTACATAGATACAGATATATCTCTAGAGTTAGAGAGTTATATATACAGATATATATATATATCTATATATATATATATATATATATATATATAGATATATATATATATATATATATATATATATATATATATATATATATATATATATATATACTTTACTTATCTCATTTATTTAGAATTACTTAAATTCGACTTATAACTAATATTAAATTTTCGTGTTTTTTTTTAATTTTCCAGCAAACTAATAGGCGCACGGTACTACGAACAAACAGGCGAGACCGCAAGAGATACGGAAGGCCACGGGAGCCACACCGCATCCACAGCAGCGGGGAATTACGTAAAAGACGTCAGCTTTTACGGGATAGCCAAAGGAACCGCAAGAGGAGCGGTACCCTCAGCAAGAATCGCAGCATACAAAGTCTGTAACCCCAGCGGATGCTCGTCGGTGAATTTGTTAGCTGCATTCGATGACGGCATCGCTGATGGAGTCGACATTTTCTCGATCTCCATCGGACATAGTTTTCCTCATGATCTCGAAGCCGATCCCATCGCAATAGGAGCTTTTCATGCAGCGGAAAAGGGCATTTTAGTCATTCAATCTGCAGGCAATAGTGGGGACGGCAAGGGAACCGTTTCGAGTGTAGCACCCTGGATTTTCTCGGTCGCTGCGAGCACTACCGATAGGGGAATTATCACCAAAGTTTCTCTCGGAGATGGAACCGTACTTAACGTAAGTGTTATTCACTTTTTATACATACTTCGCTTCGTTTTTCGTTAACGGCTTCTTTCGTTGCAGGGCAAGGCGGTGAATGCTGTTAGTTTGAACGGGACTAGTTTCCCTCTAGTGTATGGAGAAGGTGTCTCACGCAAATGCAACGAACAATATGCAAAGTAATTAATTATGCTCTTCACATATATCCCTTTATTCGTCGAACTTTAAATATATATATATTTAATAATTATAATTTGTGTCCGAACTTCAGATACTGTTATTCGGAGTGTTTGGAACCCGATTTAGTGAAGGGAAAAATTGTACTCTGCAAAACTTACGCGGGCATAGGAGAAGCCGCGCGAGCTGGAGCTGTTGGAGCAGTTGCACTTGATGATTTTTCACCCGATGTCTCGTTCGTTGTTCCTCCTATAGCTGCATCAGCCTTAAACCAACAAGACTTCAGTTTGGTCGAAAGCTACTTTTCCTCCACAAAGTAATCTACCTTCAAAATTTCGACACGAGAAACATTACTATTAGTACGTCGTGTTTTTTTCTTTCTAACTCTTGAAAGTATTTGCGTAAATCGATTTTGCAGATCTCCCAAAGTAGAAGTTCTGGCTAGTGAATCGATAAAAAATGTCGTCTCCCCCAAGGTTGCTTCGTTCTCTTCAAGAGGACCAAACGTCATCATTCCACATATTTTGAAGGTAAAAAATCATTGCTTTGAATAATATAACAGTAAATGTTATTGTAATGAAAATGATACAATATTTCTAATATATACATACATATATATACAGCCAGATGTAACGGCACCGGGAACGGAAATCATGGCAGCCTATTCACCGGTAGCTCCACCATCAATTTTCCCTCGATACGATAACAGATCTGTTAAGTATAATATACTTGCCGGAACATCTATGTCTTGCCCGCATGTTGCCGGAGCATCTGCGTACGTAAAATCACTCCACCCCGATTGGTCTCCTTCAGCTATCAAGTCAGCACTTATGACAACAGGTAACTTCAAGCCAATCAGATATACATACTTATATACATGTATATATGTTTTTGATTGAAGTAATTTTTTTTTATGATCGTAGCTTGGAGAATGAACTCAACAAACGATCAGCTAGCTGAATTTGGCTATGGAGTTGGCCATATAGACCCTGCAAGGGCCGTTGATCCCGGCCTCGTTTACGAGACATCAACGAGTGATTATGCCAATATGCTCTGCAGTTTGGGGTATGATAACGCGAAATTGAGAAAGATTTTCGGAGGGAACAATACCTGCCCCACTGGAGAGAAGACTATGCCGAAAGATCTCAATTATCCGTCAATGAGCATGAGTGTTCCTCAAGGCAATGGTACACGTTCGACATTTTCGGCGAACTTTAGAAGAACTGTCACAAATGTCGGAGATGCAACTTCTACATACAAGGTGAAGACAAGCGAAAGTCCCGATTATAGTATCTCTGTGACGCCAAACATCCTTCAATTCGGAGCGCTGAACGAAAAGAAAACGTTTGAAGTGACTATAAGCGGAAAGATTAGTGAGAATAATATGGTGTCAGCCTCGTTGGAGTGGTCCGACGGGGTCCACAATGTCCGTAGCCCGATAGTTGTGTATACGGATAATATGTAATTAATATAAACCGGTTTCATATGTCATGGAAATACATGTGTAAAAGAGTCAAAGAAGTTATTGTAATAATGTTACTTGATGAATAAAATATATATATATATATATATATTTGACTGATGATCATCATGTACATGAATATCTATTATATATTGTACATTTGCACTGTTTTATCGTACTTCTAGTATACGACTATAGGACTACGGACTAAATGAATGCCGTCGGACCAAACCAGTGAAGCAGAAACCATGGATTTCATACGATCCCCTTTAACAGTGACAACGAACGACTGTTTCTCGTTTAGCTGTTTGAACGAAAGGGTTTGAGGGTCCACAGTGATATTGCAGTCCGAAGATTTGTCTACTGCAGCTGTGTAAGTTGAATTTGCGAGACCAACGTTTGTCACTGTTCTTGAAAATGTAGCTGAAAACGGTGCACCTTCTGCCACTTTGACGGTCATTGAAGGGTAGTTGAAATCATCTTTATTCGTCGAATCAACTTTCTTGAACTTTGAGCAGTCAATGCTGTTGTCTTTGAACAGCTGTCGAATTGATTCAGCCGAATAGCCGATGCTGCAGAGCAATTTGATGTAATCTTCTCTACTTGTTTCGTAGACAAGTCCAGGATTTGTTGCGTTTATAGGGTTTATATGCCCCGATCCGTACGAAAACTCTGCGTCTTTATGCCGTGTAGGGTCCATTCGCCAAGCTGGAAAACATATAAAAATAACCCTTGTTTATTTCAAATTGTTCGGAAATTATTTTTTGACGAATGGAAAACAAAATGTGGATTGACTTACCAGTGGTCATAAGAGCAGATTTAATTGCAGAAGGCGACCAATCAGGATGCGCGGATTTTACGTATGCAGCGGCCCCCGCAGCATGTGGGGAAGACATTGATGTTCCGGACAAAACACTGTACTCAACAGATCTTTTATCTTTGAGGTAATCTGTAACAGGAGCTGCCGGTGAATATGCAGCCAGTATTTCAACTCCAGGTGCTGTTATGTCTGGCTGAATATATCCGAAAACTTTATCAATTTAAGACGAATATTTTTTTTTTAGTTCGAAAAAATAGCCGTTTGCATATATATACCTTTAAGATACTTGAAATAATGGGATTCGGCCCCTTTGAAGAAAAAGAAGCTACAACAGGAGCATCACTGTTTTTCATGGATTCACTAGTTGACACGATTGCTTTTGCTTCTCTACAAAAGAATAGCAAGTGAACTAATAATGAATTTTCCATGATAAAATGTGGATGAGTAAAAAAGTCGAGAAATGGATATCGAACTCTGTAGAGTTGATGTAGCTTTTGACTAATTCGAAGTCACTGGCAATCAAAACTGATGCAGACATTGGAACAACAAATGAAACGTCGGGTACTTGTCCAGGTTTTACAATTGTTCCGAGGGCACCTGCGTTAAGAGCTTCCTCTATTCCACTGTTGCTGTCACATAAAACAATCTTTCCACTAACCAGGCTACTGTTTAGACAATCTGTTGAACAGAGGCTGTAATAGACAAAACAAGAATAATTTTTCGTGGTTCTTATAGTTAAAGAATATAAAACACATGGTCTTAAAAGGGCTGAAAAATGAAATTTACCTGCCCGCCAATTCATCACAATCCCCTGTCCTGACATCTTTTCCATAGACTAGAGGGAATTCAGTTCCTTTCATCTTGAAGGAATTAACTGCTTTTCCCTGTTAAAAAGATAAGATTATCATAGAATTAAATGTAAGAATCTAAAATCATTTATGTCAAAAGCAGTCACAGGACATTATTTATTACTAGAAGTGGGAATTGAAAAGGAGTTTTGGAATTTTATCGATTCCCGCCCGGAAAATTTCGACTTACAAACTAACTTCTTTTTCATTCTGTTTCCAAAATCCCAATTTTTTTGAAACTGGTACATGGCAATTCCTGAAATTGTTTTGAACTCCGTAATTCATGAAATTTTGTGGGTCAAAATCGAAACCGCTCATCACAATTATATAAGAAATTCGGATTCTAATCTAAATTTAATTTTCAAAAATAATTATAAGATTCTAATCGGCATTAGTTTTTTTTTTTTTCTGATTTTATTTCTTCGAAAATGCTAATTCCAATTCTATTAATTCGATTTTCAACCCCACTAATACTTACCAATTCGATACCAAACAAAATTACTTACAGAAATTGTTTTCCCATTTCCGAGCACGACTTTAGCAACGATCCCACGATCGATACTGCTGGCACCAACGGTCATCAGCCAGGGCGCAACACTGATAACCGTTCCAGGGGAAAAACCATTATTTCCCGCCGAATGCACAGTCAGTATACCCTTTTCCATCGCATGAAGCGATCCAATCGATATGGAATCATATATCACATCAACCGCCACAGAAGACCCCAACGAGATTGTAATAACATCAACCCCGTCAGCTATTGCATCATCAAATGCCGCCAGTATGTCAGCTTCTCTGCACCCCCCCTGACAAACTTTATACGCTGCTATTCTAGCAGAGGGGGCCCCACCTCTGGCAGTGCCTTGAGCAATGCCGTAGAAACTCGCATCTTTCACGTAGTTTCCAGCTGCTGTTGAAGCAGTATGAGTTCCATGGCCAATAGTATCTCTAGCAGTATCGCTGGAGTAGAAGCGGGCCCCGATTAACTTTCTGTAGTACAAACACACTCCGTTAATTAATTACCATATTTTTATGCTTTGAAAAATAATATTTGCGGAGATTATTTTTCTTTTCTTTTTTACTTGTTGCAAGTGAAATTTGTGCCACCGTTACAAACTCCTCTCCATTTCTGTGGGACCGGTCCGAAGCCTTGGTCGTTGAAGCTCTCGGATTCTGGCCATATTCCGGAATCAAGAACGCCTATTACAATGTTGCTAGAAGAATCAGTGTTGGAGTTTCGGATGACGTTTTCGTTTAAGCCGATGAAGTCCCATGATCTTGTTGTCTGAGGCCACAAAGTTCTGCTTGGGAAAATCGATACCACATCCTCATGGCCTGTGTAGATTTTTGATTTATCCACAAGAAAATTAAATCAGCCGGAATTTTTTTTTTCACTTTTAGTAGTTATATAAGAAATGATGATGATAACGATGAACTCACTGGCTAACTTTTGTTGTTCTTGGTTTGTAAGATAGGCGGCGAAACCATTGAAACTCCTTTTGTAACTTGTTACCAAGGCCTTGGTTAGAGAACTAATTAAAGAAAAAGGAGTTGCAAATCAAAAACTTTTGTCATAATACAATATATAATCAATGTAGTAACACACAATTAATTAATACAGATGGTTAATTATTTACGTGTCACGAGGAACTACATCTTGAAGCATTTTGGCATGATGTTCTTGAAGCTTGTTACTGTGGTAAAGTGAATGATATCCTTCTGGAAGAGCTCCCATGTAAACTACGTAAACCTGAAAACAAAACAGCCAATACTTACAAAAAAAAATCGAGACTCGGATTTAATGACATGAATCCAATGATCTTAATTTACGTATTGGTGGTAATTTTTTTATTAACGTCGATCAGAAAAAAAAATGCCCCTTGCCTGCCTTTTATCATCTGTAGCATCACTCAGGCATCTGCAAATCAGATTGCATATAATAAACAGGAAAAAACACTGAAGTTTATCCATTTCTTGAATTCTTAGTAGTGTTAGAACAAAGTAGAGTTGATTTTCTCCGCTGCATATCACCTACTCTTAAATAGATCATCGTTATCATGACTTGCATTTGGTTTTCTTAGTGGTGTCACTTTCAAGAAGACAAGAACCAATTAATTTCCTTTCGCTTTTTAAGCAATGGAAAGAAAAAGCAAACAGTGCATTTACAGAGGCTGTTATACATCATGACCCATTAAACTTCCTCTAGAGGAACTTTACAATAAATGAAAATTTCTATCAACTGAGAATGGGAAAATTACAGAATCGGTCCCTATACTATACCACTAAAGTTATTTGCCATTCTTCTTCACTTTTCGACCGCCAAATTGACGGGAAAAAGAACGCGTGTTCTGCAAGTGACATCCCTTAACCATCTTCCCCTTCTCCACCTCAGGTCACATTTCCCCCAATTTGCCATAATCCCTAATTTTTTTTTCCTAATTGAAATCCCTAAATCCAATTCCCCAAATCCCTAATTTATTCATTTTCCAACATAAACAACAACAAATATGGAGAATTACTCGAATCAAAAACCATAACAGTGCTAATTAACAGTGTTTTTTGAGCTACTTCCGCATAAATTCTACGAACACACACACACACACACACACACACACCACCACCACCATTCAAATGTAATATACATGCAAAAATTCATATACATAAATAATTGGAGGGAGAAAAAATGACACTTTAAATTTGCTCACCAGAATAATTTAGCTACTAGCTTCATGCATGTAGAATCAGTGATGACGTCACTGTTTACAGCTTTGGAGTTGTTCTCAAAGGTGGCCATAGCTTCTGTTCTCGGATCCATCGCAGTATCTCAAAATCAGTTCAGATTGAGAATTAAAAAAAAAAAAAATTTCTTTAGTTATTAGTTATATGAATTAATCTGAGTTAATTAATGTGTAGAAATATTTTTTTTTAAATGGGCCGGTTCCACTGTTCGGGTCAATTATATAATAATGGGCCATAAACTATAGCCCAACCGATTACGCCCAATGTTCTTAAGAGGCCTTTTAACATAATTCATTTTTTTTGGTAAATTACGAAACCCCCCCGCACTTAGGTTGAATTACGAATAAAAAGCCCCACATATCCTTAATTTACCAAAGTACCCCAACGTTTGTTTCCTTCTTACACCGACCTCCTTATGGTGTGATTGAAATGTCGATTCTACCTTTAAGAACAATCTCTTAAATGTAGGTGGTCTTAGTATACCTTCTGCACCAACGTCATTTATGCAACATCACATTGCAATGTCGTTACACTTTATGGATTGATAGAACCATCATTTCCACGATTGCATGGCTACTTTCTGTCTGTTCTACGTTTGTAGATTTTTTGGAGAATATTCTCTAGAATAAAAAAGATTCTATGAAAAATTACACCATAAAGAGGTCAGTGTCAGACGGAAACAAATATCGCAAGAATTTCGATAATTACGAATAAGTGCGAGAGTTTTTCGTACTTAAGCCTAAATTCAGGTCTTTTTTTCTTCATAATTTACCATTTTTTATATAAATGTAACATAATTCAATTGATCTTGTTCTTTATTTCAAAATTTTATTCACTTGATCATAATTTTATTTACTAGAAGAGCATAAGCATCTTTAAGGAATTCAAGAAAAGCATATTCTACAACATAAATTGCATATTCGTTTAAAAGCATAGTGTGTAAATAAGCTCTTAAAATTAGACTGCATATACGGTTTATTCTTTTATTATTATCTCCATCTAAAATACTTAATTTGTTTTTGTAATTACGGAAATAATTAATCCAAATACTCTCGTATGTGGTTAGCCTAGTGTTGTTTACGGCGTTCGTATGGTTTGTAAGCTATTATACGAGAATGTAGCTTTATCCAACACACCTACATGGTTATCTGCATTCATTACAAAAAAGAAATAATTAGAAAAATAATTAATGCAAATACTCTAATTTTTTTTGTAATTAGAAAAATAATTAATCCAAATACTCCAATTTTGTTCCACTGGTCCTTGCTTTTTGTCCAAGTTATAAAAGGGAACTCAATCGAACGGCCCAAAATAATTCCACAATCCTAAATCTAAAACGGACGGTCCAGATAACTCAACCCAACAAAATAGGGTCATAAATGCTTTTTTCAGCAATTGTACACAGCTAATTTATTAGTCGATATGCCCAACAAAACCAAAACCACCGCTTCCTCACCGTCTCTGTTTTCTCTCTCTCTAAAACTCTCTCTCTAAATTTCTCTCAGAAAAAAAAAAAAAAAAAAAACTGAACGAGAAGAAAAATGGTGTTTGTCAAGGGACCAGGCCTTTACCCCGACATTGGCAAGAGAGCTAGAGGCACGTATTTTTTTTTTACGGATTTATGTATATATATAAATATATATTTGGCTGTATATATTTCCGTAATTTTTGTAAATGGTGTTTGGTTTCGCCGTTCCGATGATATAAATCGGAAATAATTTGTTTGTTTTATACTTTATTTTTTTGTTTAATTTACAGATCTTCTCTACAAGGATTATCAGGGTGACCAGAAGTTTACTCTCACTACGTACACTTCAAATGGCGTGGTTAGTGTTTGTATTTGTTTCTTCTGTGTAGTAATTTTTATTTATTTTTAATGAATTGGTGTTTATGTGAGGATTAATGTTTCGGATTTATTAGGTTTTATGACGAGATAGGATTCGGCTGTTTAAACTATTGATTAACATATGAAAAAGGAAATTAACATGGATTAGATAATGATTTTCGTTGTGTTATGTTGATCAATTACAAGTGTTGTTTGTTTCATTGTCGTTTTGATGGTGTGGTTACGAAAGCTAAATAGTCACGTGTTTGATTTGTTCGCTATGCTGCTTCGTGATCGTTCGATTCGTTTTTCGGTTTTCAGGCAATTACTTCGTCTGGAACTCAGAAAGGCGATCTGTTTTTGGCTGATGTCAGCACGCAGATGAAGAACAAGAACATCACAACTGACGTCAAAGTCGATACCAACTCTAATGTTAGTCGTTTACTTTTCTTATTTGTTTATACCTGCGACTTTGAATCCAAATCCTAGTTGCAATATTTGCTTTTTGATGTGTACTGGCGAGACGATAGTGTGTTACGTGCGTATATGTTTCGGTAATGTATAAAAAGGTACCAAAAGGCAAAAGAAGTTGACCAATACCGCCGTTGAGCTCTACCGTTAAAAGAAAACAGTACCACAAAAATTTAAATCCTCTAGTGATTTTCAAACCAGAATTTTGCGATTTTTCAAAGTTTAGAAGGGAAATATGTTCCATGAGAGTACTGTGTGCAAAGAAAATCGTACGATGTATATAAACGATTGATCATGTCATCCGTGGACCAAAGTGTAACTTCCATTTTTTTTTCGGTCTTGAAGCAATTGAGAAGTGGATTTAACTTTTGATTTGGATTTTCTTGGTAATTCTTTTATCCTCTCGTTTTAGATATCTATTTTATTTTAGTTTCTTAATAGTGGTTGCCGTTATGTCTACAAATTAGATTAGTTCCTGATATACATTGGAAACGTTTCTTCAATTTGGTTTGTTGTGAGCGCCGAACGGTGGAATCATTCTTCACCATCTTATGTTTGTCATTTGTTCGAAAATCACTTTAAGTCGGCCTTTCCGTAATTACTCCACATAAATCTGGTAGTGTGTTGATAAGTCGGATTGCGTCAGTAATTAAAGTATGTCTGAACATTCTTTACAAAACCAAGTATATGGCCATTTATAACCACCATTTAACAAAAACGATGTCATGTTATAAATATATAGGTGTACACAACCTTCACTGTTGACGAGCCTGCTCCTGGAGTGAAGGCTATCTTTAGCTTTGTTGCTCCTGACCAAAAGTCCGGAAAGGTAAATTTTACTTCTCCATACAGTAAAAATAAAGGCAAACGGGGTTAAAAAATCTGATGTATTTCTGGTAAATTGGAGTAACAGGTGGAACTTCAATATTTTCACGAGTATTCTGGAATCAGTACAAGCCTTGGTCTCACTGCAAAGCCCATCGTCAACTTCTCTGGTGTTGCGGGCAATCACACCTTCGCTTTCGGTACTGATGTGTCATTCGACACCGAAACTGGAAATTTTATCAAATCAAACGCTGCACTCAGTTTTACCACCGCTGACCTCGTTGCTTCCTTGGGACTGTGAGTTCCTTTGTTAGTTTATTTAAAAAACAAATAAAAATTTGTTTTGGTGATTTTACATATTTACCCCAGAGTTGAGGCTGATTTGATGATTTATACAGGAGTGATAAGGGCGAAACAGTCACTGCTTCCTACTTCCACACGGTAAGCCCGTTGACCAATACTGCAGTTGGAGCAGAGATGGTCCACAGCTTTTCGACCAATGAAAACACGCTTACCATCGGGACCCAGCATTTACTGGACCCTCTAACCGCGGTTAAAGCTCGAGTGAACAACTATGGTAAGGCGAGTGCTCTTATTCAGCACGAATGGCGTCCGAAATCTCTGATAACTATTTCAGGTGAAGTGGACACAAGGGCTATAGAGAAAAGTGCAAAGGTTGGACTTGCTGTTGCTCTTAAACCATGAAATCCGAATTTCTACGGGTTTCAAAACATTTTTTTTCTTTTGGTTTCTAAGATGCGGAGCTAGCAATAATAAAGTAGATTTTTATCGATTATAGCTAGCTTGGCTTGGATTTCCATGTCTGCTTGTAATGTGATCTCGGGTTTTTCTTGTTATATCCAATGCTTTTTGTGTTGTAAAAAGAATTATTAAATGACGAGTCTTGTCGAAATTGTTGTTGGTTCAAAATGGACGGTTCGAAATGTGTCGTTTAATTCTTTGGTGATTTCTCCGCTGCTTGTCGGAAATTGATCAATATAGAATTGCAGCCGTTTCATTTGAAATCTATTAGAATGAAATTATCAAGTATATTTGAACGAATTTATTTTATATTACATATCAATTTCTTAAATAATATAGAATTATGTTAAATAATTTCTCTATGTTTTCCAAACCATTTCCTTTTCAATTAAATTCAAAATTATTATTCATCGAATACATCTTTTCCACTAATTGCTCAGACGGTACTTTGTCAATACAAGATAATGATGCCAGCACAGCAATTTTATCTCTTACACAAAAAAAAAAAAAAAAAAAAAAAGAAGAAAAATTTAACTAAAATAATATAACTTCTTTAATCAAATTCAGAGCTCAAAATATAATTTTTTGAAAAATAAATAAATAATAATAATAATATTCGTTCATTTTAAATACTGATGAGTATTTCAGGTTAACAGTGATGGAGCTGGCATTTTGGTTCTTACACGTAACCAAATACCATGCAATAAATCAATTCCAAAAGGGGGAAATCAAATACATTTTAGGGATTCAAAGATCCACTACTGAATAGTGAAAAAACTGTTTCCATTTATAGATTTCGATGAACACCGCCGTGAGATTTCCTTCCGCTTCGCTCTCTTCTTCTTCATCTGTTTTCTTCTCCAATTTTCCGAGAAATTCCGTTTCCATGGAAACAATTATTCCGGCGAATTTGAATCTCATCGGAAAAGGAAAACCCTCTCATTTTTCAACCATCTCCGCTTCCAATGATCGCCATGGGTCTCCTCGAGAATCCACTTTTCGGGTAATTTTTTTTCGATCTTTCGTCACTCTTGTAAATTATCTACTGAACTTCTATGATTTTATTTTTTTATTTTTTTTTTATCTATTGAACAAGCATGTTAGGTTTTAGTGTATTGTGTATAGCCCTGCTTGGTGCAGACCAGGTTGTTGTGTGGGTAAAAAACACTTAAATTGTGTGTAAGATGATTAGCTTTCTTGACAGTAATCAATTAGTGTTTTTATTGTATTTGAGCATTAATTGTCCGATATCGATAATATCATATGCTCGGAGGTTGCGAATAATAAGATCGATTTCGCAAGAATATCCAACTTTCATTGGTCATCTTATTTGCATACATAAGCAATGGCATATTGTTGATAAATTTTATAATGATGTTTGTTTAGCCTTTTTTCCGATTGAGCTGGTTTTGTTCACTTTATGATAGCCGAAGATACACAATTACGAGATTATGTTAATTTTATTTGGCAACAAAAAAGAAAAAAAAAAACTGAGTGAAAACTGTGTTTTTCCATTGCAGGGAGGGGAATCTTTCTTCAGGAATATCTTGGCAACTATGGAGAACGTTTATCTGAATAAGAACCCCACAGCAAAATCCATATTGGATCTTGTTCGTTCGGTAGATGATGATCGAATATGCTATGATCATTTTGCGTTTAGGTCGTTTGGGGTAATATGTTGTATTCTTTTCAATTAGTCGAGTTTATTGCAATTAGTACCCTTGTGTTATATCAAATTGTTAAAAAACTACCCCATGTTATTTTATCGGCAAAACCCCCCTATGCATGATTTAGTTTTTTTAAGCAGTTACTAGCCTCGGTAGGGGGTTGCGTGCTAAAAAAATGAATCATAGGGGGTATTTGGCTAATAAAATAACATAGGGTAGTTCTCTAGCAATTCGATATAACACAGGGGTACTACTTGCAATTAACCCTTTTCACTTATATTACTATTGAAGTGAATTTTTGGAAGGAATATTAAGGAATGTAATTGCTTATTAGGTGGATGGTCATGGAATCGATTCTATGGCAAAACTTTTTGTGGATTTTGGTTATGTACAAAGAGAAGAATTGAGATTCCCTGCAAAGAAATTGAAAGCTTTTTGGTTTTCGCCTCCGAATATTCCACATTCAGGTGATGGTACGGGTGTTAATGGACCATTGCCGAGGATATTTATATCGGAACTTCTTGTTGATCAAATGAGTTCAGAAGCTCAGGTTTAATTTAGAGTTTACTTGATTGTATTTTCTTGAATTTATTATGAGAATCACACTTGTTGATTAGTTGTTCAATTTACTTGCTACTTGTGCAGAAAATAATTAGAAAATACACTAAATTATCGGGAAATGGAAATATGCACGCGTCTGTAGCCAGTGCACTGGGATGTTTGACATGGGAAAAACCTGCGTACACTGAATTCCAACAGTTGGCTAGGTATGTAACTAAAAAATTTTTTTTTTTTTTTTTTTTTTTTTTTTTTTTTTTTTTTCTGAATTTAGAACAAGGACTAGAACTTGTATTTGGGTTATCAGACATTAGTTCTTTCTTGCTACGTGCATATGATTTTTTTCCAGGGAAAGTGAATATGCTGCATGGACTCTCGTTAATGGATACACGGTAAATCACGTCACTATATCTGCTCATCGCCTTAAATCACACTTACAGAAGATTGGAAATCTTAATCAGTTCATTGAGGAGAATGGTTTCAAGTTGAACTCTGAAGGAGGTGTTCTTAAGGGTAAGCGTTTTCTTCCCTTATTTTTTATTTTTATTTTTTGCTTAAATATTTATTCTTGGAGATGCCTCTGGTAATAATTCTTTCCCCCCCTAAATTTAGATTAGTGTATTATTCCCGAGAAATCTTCAAATAAGATATATGACTTACCATGTTATTGTGTTTTTTGTATCAGTAAGCCCTGATGGTCTCTTGTTACAAAGTTCAACGGTGGCAGATTCAGCTTCATTCCAATTTGCTGAAGGAATCACGGAATCGATTCCTTGCTCATACATTGAGTTTGCCGAACGCCTCGTACTTCCTGAGTTCAAAGATCTACCGGAGAATAAGGTTTTTTTCTTTTTGGTTTTTTATCCTTTAGCTGAACCTTTTGCCATTCTACGTATTATTTAATTTCTCGAGCACTGATGATTAATTTTGTTCCCTTTGCATAGGTGGAAGAGTTTCATAGGAGAGACGGTTTTGAGGTTGGAAATGCAGACAAGATATTCGAGAGCACATCTATCGATCAGCTTACCAGGAAGTCCGTGTGACTCAGTAAACACTAATATACTATGTTCGATGTCTAGTATGCCCGTTTATCGTTACTAAATAAGCTACTGTTTATAAATAAATTGTTAACTAAGAACCACTTTCTGACTCAATAAGTATGAATAACAAGAAACACAAATTGTTGTTGCTAATGCTAATCTACTCCAGGTAGACCTCGACGTCGGTTCGCAGATTTCACCCTCGTTTTTTTTCTTCTTGTGCATAAAACTCTTCGAAAAGTTAAAATTTTCATAAAATTCATAAAAAAAGAAATACAAATTAGACCCATATGGAGGGAGATAAGACATAAGAGGAAGATGAACCATAATAATCTCCGATGTACACTACGCATCTTCAAGAATTATACATACATTTAATAATTCACTTCCAAATCGTTAAAAACGTGTGACGTATATCTTACAAGAGCGACCGAGGCGTTCCAAAAACACCATGTCCATATCTTACGGTTTGCCGCTCGGTTTGGGCGAATTATTAGTAAACTGATGAAACAACGGTGAAGCATGAGCACCACCATTGGGAATCGAGAGCCGCCTCTGAATATTCTGGTGGCTGTTCCTCGAGAAAGACCCGTTAGTTCGGAGCCCGTTTTTACCGTTCGGGCTCGAGTTGACTCGGTCAGCTTGCATGGTCTGGAAGTAGTAAGACGAGCTAGCCATGTCTTTGAGGCTGGGCAGAGGCTTCAAAGCTTCGACAACTTCACTCATCAGAGGCCTCGATTTCGAGTCACGGCTCAGGCAGCGTGCCGCCAGGTGGGCGGCTCTTTGGGCACCTTTGATGGAGAAGTGGCCTTCGAGACGAGGATCTATCAGGCGGTAGAACCGCCTCCGCTCGCCCAGGTGGGGCCGGGCCCACTCCACGAGGTTGTGCTCCCCGTTTGGACGGTTTTTGTCCATTGATCTTCTACCTGTTAGCATCTCGAGGAGGACTACTCCGAAGCTGTATACGTCGCTTTTTGATGTGAGATGTCCTGCAATAGATACAGATACATATCTCTATCAGAGACCAAAATCATAATTACCAAAAAAACACCCTGAAGTTTGTTGCTTTTGTCTTAAATTGTCCCATAATAATTACCAAAAAGAACCCTGAAGTTTGGTGGAATCTATTTGACTCCATGGAATAATCCTCGAAAATACCAATTTTACCCTCAGGGGTAATCGTAATAGTACGTAAGCAAGATTTACATTGTTCCCTTACGGTGTGAATTTTGATGAAATCTTTTTGATTCCATGGGATATTCCTCGAAATACCAATTTTACCCCCAGTGATAATTGTAATAACATGAAAGCAAGATCTACATTGTCCCCTTATTCCATGGAATATTCCTAAAAAAATTGAGGATAATTGTAATAATACGAAAGCAAAATCCAAAATTAAAAAGAAAAACAAAAACGTTTACCCGTCATGACATATTCTGGGGCTGCGTAACCATAGGTACCCATCACACGTGTAGAAACATGAGTTTTTCCTTCATCCGGGGCATCTTTAGCAAGTCCAAAATCCGAAAGTTTGGCATTATATTCCTGTAAGAATAAAGTCATTTTGTCAGATACCACTTCTTGCAAGATTATTACATACTTCGGGCACAAGTGTAATTTAGACAAAATGTAGCTTATTATCGAAAACTCACAGCATCCAATAGGATGTTAGATGTCTTAAAATCCCGATATATAACCGGTCTTTCCGCTTCCTCGTGCAGAAAAGCGAGCCCCTCTGCAGCACCAAGAGCCACTTTCATCCTTATAGACCAAGGAAGTGGCAGCGACCCTATAAATTAAACAACGCTCTCAAAAACATAATCTTGCATTAAAAAAGAAATCGAAATTTCAAGAACGAAAAGTGCACTAAAAGAAGGGTAGTTACGTACTTCTGAATAGATGGTTCTCCAAGCTTCCCCTAGGCATGAACTCATAAACGAGCAGCCTCTGGTCATCTTCGATGCAGTAACCGATTAATTTAACCAAATTCGGATGAACCAGGTCACCCAAAAAATTCACTTCAGCCTGCCAAACAATAACAAATTATAAAATAAAATAAAAATAAAAAAATTCAAGAAAATCGAGTCGACAAAAAGATCCAAACCAGCCATTCTTTGTGCCCTTGTAGTCCATCGTGATTTAGGGTTTTGACAGCAACCGTGAGTCCTGTACCGGGTTTAACCGGTGCTGTACCGTTCTCTTCGATCCATCCTTTGAACACACAACCGAACCCTCCTTCACCGAGAAGTGATTCCGGTCTGAAATTTCTTGTGGCCAATTTAAGGTCGTTAAACGTAAATTTTCTGAGGCGAGAAGAAACTTTGAGCTCGTCTTCTGGTTTGGAGCTCGATGAACTACTTTCAGCATTGCTTGTGGAGGTGGACGGGATTACGGGCACAACGGGCTGGTCTCTGCTAGTACCATTCGTAGATTTACTTTCTGCTTGCATGCACAATTTGAAAACAACGGATAAGAAGAAATAAATGCTTAATAATGTAACTTACCTTATATTATCTTATCGATGTGTAACAAATTCTATGACCACAAAAGGCACAGAAACAAATTATATAGCGTGTACAATCGCTGTCGAAGGACACTTGGCAATTTTAAGCATATGGGACATTGAATTATATATTTGGGTGCACGTAAAAGTGAAAACTAGACACATGTTTCTTGAATCTGAGAGTATAAACTATAAACCATCTTCCTAAATATTAAATGTTCATATGTTTCTTGAATTTTATCAGATATCGTTTCAAAATTCATAGATCCCAGAAGATCATCCTTCCTCGTTTCTTATCTTCGTGCAATCAGTAGAGCGCATCAAATCATATAAACGAAACTCAATCAGTAAAACTTGCAAGTTTAGCAACTACATCCTAACTCCAAACAAAACTGAAACAACTCTCTTTAATCATATCAAGCTAAACTGGGAATTAATACGATCGATGATAAAAGATAAAAACCGAATTGCAAACACGACAGCTGAAGCGAAATCGGGATATTACCTTGAGTGCTGCTGATGCCACTTATAGAGCTATCGACTTTAGATCTCGATGTAATACAGCTGCCAATAAACCTAAACCTAATGCAACATCCACTCTTCTTAGCAGCATTATCATTTTTTTTCTTCTTCTCCTTCAATTTCTTAACTTCCCAAGACTCCCCTTTTAATCCTTCATCACCTAATCCCATCTCTTCACATACAAAATTTCATACAAAATTCCCACAAATTAAAAAAAAATAAAAAAAAATTAAAAAAATTTTGATCGATCCCACCTCCTGAATATACCAAATTAATCCCTAAATTTGAGTGAATCCCACAGAATTACCTAGAACAACTCGAACCCATTACAGAAAATAAATCGAAAGTAAGAAAAGGGGAACCTTTCTTCCACAATCAAGAAAACCCAAATCGCCAAAAGAAAAAAAGGCAATTCAAAACACCCAACAAAACTTGGAGCCAGCTGCTCAATCCGAATAGCTGCAATAACAAATTTCCGATTGAAATTGAAACCCAGATGTAATCGATGAAATTAACGAAAACCCAGTTGGAAAGTGGAGCAGAAAAACCCAGAGTGAGAGGGTGCAGAGTGATTACAGATCACATGCTTGCTTGACCTTCAAAGCAGGGATAAAACTTTGGTCATCGGCACTGTGCAACAAGCGAAGCTGGAATCACACACTATTATTAATAATTACAGTGGCGATAGATACATAGATAATAATAATACTCTCTCTCTCTCAGCCCGCAAAAAAAGATGCCGAAATTTTCAACGAAAGACTCGCAACTCGCTGAGTACAAATGCACAGTACTCAAACAAGAAAAGGGAAATGGAAAAAAAAAGAAACAAGAAGATATTCCGGTACTATTTATATTTAATTACAATTAATGCCAGTATATTTTTTTAGTTTGTTCCTTGTCCTGTAATGCTTTATTTATTAGTAGGTCAAATTACGAAAAAATACCCCTTCTGTTTGGGTAATTACACTCACCCTTTTAACTATAAATTTTGTTAGACGCTGGTGTCAAATTCAACATAATCTTTGAGATTATGTGGAATGTTCTCTAGTTTGTACTTGTTTTTGAAGTTTATGATGTACCACAATCTGATATTTACAAATCAAGAGATACATCTTATGATCATTTTTGTTCCAAAATGAGTAGCTTGAATGGAAAAAAAACGGGTACAAACTGGAGAATATTCCACACAATCTAGAAGATTTCATTAAATTTGACATAGCAGAGGTGGACGTGTAAGAAGATTCATAGTTAACCTACCACAATACTACACTACTCGTAAAATAATAATCTTGATATAAAGCAGGAGCGATGTGGGGATGCCTCGTTTCTCTATGTTGGCTCCGCCACAGCTGATGTGTCACGATCAGATGCACCACCATAGAGTCAATAATAACCTACTAAATCAATTTCCATGTGAATACATAGCAATTTCATGAGCAAAATCTGGTGAAGCAACTTCCACAAAGTGTATTTTCTGTGCCTCTGGCGAAATGAAGCCAAAAAGGAAAAAAGAAATCGGACATTGTAGCTGAAGACTAACCGAGATTCGTTTTGTCTATCATGTAGGATAATTCATGATGGTAAGTATTGCAAGAATCATATACATAGTATGCTTACACAGTTCACAGCGATTGAACAGAACTACTTTTAACAACAAATTAAAACCCGATTTGAAAGTTCGTCTTTCACATCAGTCTGCCATTGAAACGGACGGACGATAGTTTTCACTCTGTACTCTTAGTCTTTTACCTCAGATTCTGGATCTATTGAGTTTCAAATCAATTAATAAGCAGGTGCGCGTTAAACTCTTGATATTGGATCATCACCAACTTGCATAGCTCGTTTGGATAGAGAAACATGGAAGAGCCAACTCACAAATCTTGCCCAGAACCGCAATGAAATCAACAACTTGTACTTGAAAGTACCGCCTCAGACAATGCCAGTGGAAATGCTCGAAGTTGCAGTTATCTTCAGTGATTGCTCGGGTATATAAATAAGACCTGTCATACCAAAAAGTACAAAATCATCAAGTTAAGGAACTGGTTTCTTAAATTACATAAGAATAAAGCAGGAAGAGAATTCGTCTCTATTATGTGAATAAAAGACTTGCATAATCAATATATCTAGTTCTTCCACTAGCAGCAAATAGCATTTCAATACGAATATACGTGTTCTTTGTACCGTTGTTCAAAACCAGTTCAGCACAAAACCCAATTTCTAAATTCAAATTCATATTGAGGAAATCTTGTGCTTGTCATTTTTATGTGCATGTCTGAGAAACATGAATTTTTTTCTAATTTCTTTTACCTTTCTCCTTAACCTCTATTTGCAGAGAATCAAGAGTGATTATGCCATCAGTCAATGGAAGCACTTCAAGCTTGACAGTTGCTGTAGATTGAGAAGGGACACATCTGATACAAAGAGAAGTAGGTTCTTGAGAAGCTGATCAAGTTCAATACTGAAACAAACGAAATAAATAGAGACAACATACCCTAGTGGAACTCTACTCTGTAACCATAAATGGGTGCAACCCAGATCACTGTTCGGAACCACATCAGCCATGGTTCGGTCATTAGTGGACCCATCTTCAACTTTAAATCCTTGATCCAGGGCCATTGGGCTCAGTCCATGCAAAACAGCTCCTTGCCTATCACTATTTACTCCCTCAGCTAACTCGGCAGAAGATGAAGGACTCGAAGGTGAGGATGGGGAACTACTTAAAGGTACTACAGAAGGAGGAGAAGTAAATGAAGCTGGGGCAAGAACTGTTAACGTCAGATTTTCGGAGGTCATATTTGATGCTTGAAGAGTTAAAACCTGAAAATTTTGAACCACTTAAGACGAAGCTGCAATTCAGCATTAAAAGAAACGGGTTAATTGAATTCATATATAACCTGAACCGGAAGGTCAGTGCCATCAGATCTATGAGTTTGTCTGGACATTTCAGATGCCACAGAGATCATAAGATCCCGTGAAATACGAGGTCTCCAGCTTGTTGGCTGCTTAAAGAACAGCTTTGATTCTACAAGCATGCAGAGAGAGTTAAAATTGGCATAAACAAAGTGATATCCCACCAAGTTATCGTGGAAATTGTGATGAAAAACTATGGGTCTATACCAGTATAATTGCATCGACATGATACAAGAACTGCATATTGATCGGCAGGTGATCCACTGTGTTTCATTTCGATATTGGAGGACTGATTCCAGCTGGATGCAGAATTGCCAGCTGGCAAGCGTGATGGTCGTTGATTACTGTCATGGTGAGCCTTGGACTGCTTCCAGAATGTAGTTGCCGGTTTGAGGATGAAAGAATGTTCTTCACCTGGCCTGTCAATCATATACCACATGCAATGGTTAAAATTTTGAGATCAAGAAACAATATTCTAATGTTGGACATGACAATTCCAGTTATATATGAACTATCTATTGATGTTGAAGAAGGAAATAAATCTCATAATAGATCATGCACACACACATCCTGCATCTATTTAGATAAATAACTTTATTAGAGGATTTTATGCAGAAGAAACCTGAGTGCTAAATTTGGTAAACTGTAGTCATTCCCAGATTCAATACAAGCAATCGGTAAAAATAATGGCGGTCCACCTTTTGATGCCTCTTCAAAAACTATTGTTAAGGCATCTATAAACACCACAATTTCTGGTACATGTGCAGGGGAAACATTCTGCAAAGACAAGTTTGACATTATTTACATGTCGTATTGAAAACCTAAACAAAATTATTTGGGATGGGGAAGGGGGTAAAAGAAACCATACCTTTACATGGACGCAAAGAAGATCGTCAGTGTTGCAATTAACAGAATAGGAACGAATTTCTACAGGTTGAATTAATTCTATTTTTCTCCTCCACCTTCTTCCAGGTGTAAAAATTCCTTCCAAACCACACCTAACAGAAAACCTCTCTTCTTGCAATGGCACAGCACGGAAAGATAACAGTCCTTCATTTACACCTTTTTCACACTCCACAAACTTCTTGAATGAAAATTGATTTCGATCTTCTGGGTCAGAGATAGGTTCAGCAGTGGGAGGTGTGACGGCTGGGGGTGGTGGTGTATTTGGTGGAAGTGAGGACATAGAATAACTTCTAAAATGACCAAAAGAGAAAATCTGAGAACTTGACGACCCAGATACTGTGGGTTTCGTAGAGGTGCTACGAATACTTGAACTGGAACTCAATGTAGGAGGAGTTAAAAGACGAGCTGGAGGAGGACTATAATTATCCAAAGGAAGCAACCATTTCAATAATTCGCCATAAGGATCTTGATTCAAAGATGTGGAGATGTTGTCTTTCTCCAGGATCGGATTTCTTTCTTCATACTTCTCAAATTGAAGAATTTCAAGGATGGGATCCCTAACAAACTGAACACCAACATTTACCTGTAAAAGAACCTGCATCCTTCCAAACAAGAAAATGATATTTAAATTAGTAGTAATACATAAAACTCAAGGCCGACACTAACAAAAATATCTGGAAGAAACAAAGTATTTTGTGTAGGAAACAGGAGAAGGTGCAAGTGATCCTTAGATGTATCGAAATGGAAAATGCTACACTTTGCACCTAATTTATGAAAATTAAAGTTTTTCTATCGTGGACTTGGTATATGACGTAAACTGTAACTTAAATGCAAATTTACAGATCTCAAACATAAATTTACTCGCAGAGGCACCAAAGCAGGCTGTCAATACATGCAAAAATGTCAGACAAAATGATGGTGGCTGCTAAGACAGTTTCAGCTAGAACTCTAGATATACACTAAACCATAGGAGTGGCTTTTATATTAATCAACACAAAACTAGTTTGACATGAAACAAGAGGCCGCATTCTTTAGCTCAATGAGGTAGCATAACTATCTATGAGTACTCATTTCTGTATGTCAACACCATATTTGGCACAACTAACATAGCTGACAGAACAAGCTTCTTTGAACCATTAGAAAAGATGTCCTATCTTATACTTGAACTGCATTTGCAAACACCTCAACCATCACATAAGTTTTTCCGAAGGCACAATATTTTGCAACATGAGCAGAAACTTCATATATAACTACCTTTTAGATTCTAGATTCACAAGTTAAAGAATATGGATAGTAACCTACAAGCAGAACCACGTAAAGTATTACGGTACGACCAAGATACTTGATCAATAAGAGACCTACAAACTTTTCTCAAGTTTATGTGAAACACACCACTATGTCTCCATTTGTAAGGGAGCAGCACTTGACAGCACCTCTTGCCAGTCCCCCAGAAGTGCGGGCATCAAATTCCCCTTTGTCAATTGCAGCACTCATAGGATTCTTCTTTTTCATGGCCATTTCAGTTTCTGAAGAATCTCCTGTCACTTGTTCTTCAGAAGATCTATGAAACTCTTCTTGCGATCTTCTTTTAGACCAAAGTGGTTCGTTTGATTCCGCAATTCGAGCAAAGAAATGAGAATTTTTAAATCTTTGCAACAATTGTTTGGTCTGTCTTTCGTGATCTTCCATCCTTAGGAGAGATGCACCAGTTGAAACATCCTTATTTGAATCAATTTTCTCTTTCATCACAATTTCACCAGGTTGATTATCTTGATCATCAGAACCTGCACCTACTGTCGGAGAGGCGGCATGTGTTTCTCCTCCAATGTTACCATTTTGTTTCTTCAAGCTTTCTCCAATCCCATTTTTATTCATGACAGCAGCAACTTTAAATGGTGTAATTATTTCTATATCCTGCTTATAAGCAGACAGGCATGCAAGAATTCGGATTTGTTCACCTAAGACAAAGTACATAAGCAAATATGTAAGAAAAAAAATGTCACAGGCTAGAAACCTACAAGTGAAAAGCTGAGATGGAACACATTAGGGGAAAGGTCAACATAGACACACAAACAGATACCAGGAAAAACAAAGCTGCGGTCCAGAGAATGAAGTGAAAGAATATCTGGTGCCTCTGTCCAACTGTCCGGAACTTCTTCTGACCAAAAAAAAAATCTCATGAGTTAAAATTGTTAATGTAAAGTTTCAAACATTTTAACAGATCAGCTACAGTAGAGCTCTAAACTAACTTCATCCGTGATTCCAACTCACAACCATGACAAATCCACTAACTATTTAGCTACTTTGTCTTGGAAGAGAAACAAGAATGTAACTACTAACTATCAGGTATCAAAGACATAGATCAACGGAAGGGCTTTCGAGCACTATGCTTTGGTTTGAGGTCCCTGGATAAAGAATGTATTATATCTGTTTCAATCACCCAAATATATGATTAGGAAAATAATCCAATCAGCAAATTTGTCCTTTTTATCCTTATGTATGAAACACAAAGATATAGAAAAAGAAATATTTCTAGAAGGTACAATTATCTTGGTAAATTATAGATATCTCCCTTCCCTGCATTCACAGATAGACAACTTGATTGTTCTAAGTAACACCATAGAACTGGAATCCAACTATGATCTAAAGAATAAAGAGACAGGTCTAACAAATTTTGGTGCGGATAACTCCTTATCATTTTTTCACAGTAAGGAGCCTTCTAAATAACTATTCAAGTTGTCATGTTCACAAATAATCAAACAATTACGAGCAAGAAATAGGTCATACTCTTTGGAATAATTATCAGCCCCTCATCTTCAGCGACATCTATATGGCTATCAACTTGAGAGTGAGTTTTTCCATTTGAAACTGCAGGCCTGCCATTCTCATCCCCAAATACGTCACTCTCTGCATTGGATGTTTCTGAAGGCTTACTTTGCGGAAATACATCTTCACCGATTAAACCCTGTAAAGTGGTAGCAGCTTTCGACACATCATTTTCCCCTACTCGATTCTCTTTACCAGACTGCAGCTCGGCTGCAGTCTGATTATTTGACCGCAGCATCAAGAAATTCATATTCCGCCGACTTTCTGCAAACACCAAAAGAGATCAAAACTTATAGTTTCAACTGTTTCATTGCCGTGCAAAAGCGAGACTCGAAATCATTTCTCAAACAAGAATCAACTATCAGCATGGTCCCTCAATCCAAATTTCCAACTATCAACCTCACATGTAGGTCAATAAGAGAAAACCTAATCTTTTCTCAATGTAATCTCTCAACAAACCCGACATAAAACCAAAATTCAAAACAGAAGCAATTATCACAAACACTTGAAATCAAAATCAGAACACAAAAAACAACGAACTTCCACAAATGGAAACCCATCGATTCAGCAAAATAGCCAGAAGTTCTTCACTCTTCAACCATTCAGTTTAATCAATCAATTGACGTATTTATCAATTATTGTAAAGTATCGAACAATTCGACATTCCTTCAATTGGATGCAAATGCTAATTCGAAGTGAAAACTGAAAGTGATCGGAAAATTCACCTGATCGGAGTAGCAGCGAACCGGTCCGATGAGTAATCGGGTTTAAGGATCCCCGCAGTCAGACGAGAAATGCGAGATTGAGAGTTGGATCTGTACCCAAACTGGCGGAGTAGTTTAAGTACAGTGAGCCTGACACACAGTAGATCACACACTCTTCTTCTCCGACTTTCTTCGTATCAGGATCTTTCAAGAGTGTCCGTTCTGAAAATAAAAATAAAATCATTTATTAATTTATTTATTTATTTAAATAAATAATTGTTCATTGTCACTATTATAATATGTAAGTAACTTAAATATTCGAAAAATAAAATTCAAATTAATTCAAAGTTCGTATTAAAATTGAAGCACGAAATTAAACATTACTAATATTCAATAAAACTAGTAGCTACACTTCTACAATAAATTTTATATGTACTTACTAAAAAAAAAAAAACTTTATCCTTAAAACAATGCAACTTATAATACGACCATCATTAAATTAATAATGTTAGTCATATTTAACGCAGGATTGTTAAAGTATTAATAATAGATCAAATATAAAGGAACTGAACATCGTTATAAATAATTAATTAGTTAGTCAATAGAAATTAAAAAGGTAAATAATTCAATCTAATTAAATTAATTTGTTTCGTGCAATCGAACGGAGTTAAAAAATAATTAGTAAAATGTAAATATCCAATAGTATATATTTATTTATTTGTAAGTCCAAAGCCCATATCACAAGGCCCAACAAGGAGCTGGCCCGTATTCCACACAACGACGATCTCGAAAACGCGACCATAAAATAAAAAAAAAAATCAGGAAAAATAATTAAAATTACTATATCCCCATGTATATAGTAATAAATTAATATAACCATGCCATTTTATTTCTTATTTTAACAAAAAAATATCTCCATATTAATTGTAAAGAGAGTATTCCATCAATTATAAAAACAAAAAACATCCATGTACGTGGCAATTATTTAGACAGACATAATATAATAAATTAAAATATTAGAGGGGCGATGGCCCCCGATCGTATGCTGGCTCCACCACCGCTTATAAATGACATACACACAAATGAGAAAGGTGAGTGTATAAATAAAAAACAAGTTGCAATTCCAGAAGAGCTGAAGTGAAATTTAATGAAAAGTCCAAAGTTAGATAACGTAAGCCACAAAATAAAGCGCGTGGACTGCACACACAAGAAATACGTGTACGTGGATGGATAAGTATTAGCCCTCTGTTTTTCTACCTGTAATTGTTTATGCTTTTTAATTGCACTAATTATCTATTAAACAAACAAAGATATTTGGCTTCTCGATTACAAGAGAGAGCAATTATTTGGTTGTTCCATATGAAACCAATTTTTTATAATTAGGGGTTGAATATACGTTAAAATAAAAGATAATAGAAATAAATTAATGACAATAATAATAATTGTCCCAAAAAATAATAAAAGCCAGAAGATAGGAAAATAAAATTAAAAAAAAAAACATTTTTGTTATGCATTAATTCGGACTTTGGGCTGATATAACTAAATAAATATATATGTATAATCTAGTGGATTTTTTTCCATTGAGTATACTCATTTATTATTTTTCTAAGTTGTTTTCAATTACAAATACTTAATTTTGCTTTGTATGTAAAATCAAATTATTAAATGTTATAGTAACACAATACAAATCCAATAAATTATATATACACATATAAAAATAAAAATAAAAATAAAAATTTTGAGGGGGGCATGGCCCCTTGACCATACACTGACTGACTAGTGACTTCCCCCAATTGGTTATATTAATGCTATGAATATTATGTTAATATGAATGATGAAACTGCAATTACAACTTCGATTTTATAATTCCATTTTAGTAAATATCAATTGATTTATTTCATTAAATTATAAATTAGATATTCTTTTCTCGTGTGGTTTGCAAACACAAACTCTTGTACGAATAGACTATTAATAAAAAAAAAAATAAAAAAAAAAATAAAAAAAAAAAATCAAAGTAGAATATTCACAGCAAAAAAAAATCTGGGTGGTATTTTGTGATTCTCCGCAGTTGCGAAAATGAAGACTCAACTCTCTGCTTCTTCTCTCTTTCTCTCTCTTCTCTCTCTCTCATCCTTCCCCATTTAGTTTAGTTCTTTCTTTGCTCTAATAAAAGCGATTGATGGGCATCTCTCAACTCTTTTCGCTCATTCAAATTCTGATATTTCCTCTCACGTTTAATCAAATTGCGTACAGTTTCTTGTTTTTTTTCTCTTCAATTTTAGCATCCCACTCAAGAACAACACTCAATCATCGCTTATCAATGATTTAAATACCCCACTCTCTACTTTCTTTAATAATCGTCGAAACTTCAATTTTTTTTTTTATTCTACGATTTTTCTCAGTTCATGGGTTTTACGGGTTGGAACTGAAAAAAATTCTTGAACCAATTGAGCTTTCTTTTGCTTTTCAAGAAGCTGATAAGAGTGCCACATGGGCTTGGAATTACCCTCTGCTGATAAAGATTCAATTTTTTTTAGAGGGAAGTTACTAATTCTGATATGGAACCACAGCAGTTAATCTTGAGATATTCGGGTTGGGTACGCGAAGCGCTCGATGAATTGCCCGATTGTTTCACCATAACCGATCCTTGTGTTTCCGGGCACCCAATTGTTTTCGCTTCCGATGGGTTCTTGAAAATGGTGGGTTACTGTAGGGAGGAGGTGATTGGGAGGAACGGGAGAATATTCCAGGGTCCCGATACTCGTCGGAGCTCGGTTATCGAAATTCGGGAGGCGATTCGGGAGGAGAGGTGCGTGCAGATCAGCCTGTTGAATTATCGAAAAGACGGGACCCCGTTTTGGATGTTGTTTCAGTTGTGTCCTGTTTTTAGTAAGGATGATGGTAGGGTGATCAATTTCGTTGCGGTTCAAGTTCCTATATCGAGGAAATCGAGGCGGTCCGGAGTTGGGAATTCGAGGCGGGAGATGAATTCGTGCGAGGATGGAAACGGATTTCGTGACAATTTTTTCAGGTGTTGTAGGAGAGAAGTTTGCTCGGATTCGATTTTCGAGCTCGGGCGTGCGTCGGCTATGGATTCCGTATCGAGTCACGATGATGGTATAGATTTTCTTTAATCTTTTTACGAGTCTCTTAACTTTAGTTATTATGCAATGATTGATTCGATATTGATTGCTATACATTGCATACGGTTGGTATAGTATACATGATAGTGTAGTATAATGAAAGCTTCGATTTCCCGTTTAGATCGCAATTCTTAATGTTGCGGAAGTTCGTTAATCAACAACTATTACAATGTTTCATCGCAGAAGTTGAAACGAACGAGCCTTGCGAAGCGAGTGAGGTAGAGAAGACGAAAGCGAGTGCTGCAATAAGTAACATTTTGTCGGTGCTAACGCATTACAGCGAGTTAACTGGCAGATCGGTCTGCGTAAAACGATGTCGATTAACTGGGAACGGACATCTTAGTGCATCCTTAAATATATCCCTCCGTAGAATCAAACAAAGCTTTGTATTGTGAGTTTTTTTTTCTTTTATTAATATTCAAACGTTCGTATTTTCAATTAAAATTAAGTACTGTTTCGATTATAGCTACTTCGTTATATCTGGCTTGCAGAACTGATGCGTTCTTACCTGACATGCCGATAGTGTATGCAAGTGAGGCGTTCTTGAAACTGACAGGTACTTTTTGAATGTACTGTCGTCTGTTTATCTGTTTCGTACAAGAAGTATTATAGCTTCGAAAGACGGGTTTCGGATAATTTCGTTTTTTATATTTGTTGTTATATACTTTTTTATCGTATAGGATATGATAGGCATGAAGTACTGGGGCAAAATTGCCGATTTTTGAGTGGGACGGATACAGATACGGTAACACAATTTCAGGTGCTGTTACATTCTTTCGGAATTAAAAAAAAATTATAAAATAAACAATGATAATGAAAAAAAGTAGAAAATAAAATCTTCGATTTATATTTGCAGATAAAGGAACACATTCAAGCCCAGCAAGCTTGTACCGTACGCATCCTTAATTACAGGTTGATGGCGTAACTGCTTCTTACAGATATTTTCTGCTAATTTTTTTTTTCTCGTTTTGACTTTTGAATATTTGTTTGCTGCTTCCAGAAAAGATAGAACATCGTTTTGGAACTTTCTTCACATTTCCCCGGTGCGAAATGCTTCAGGAAAGGTAATTTTGTTTGCATGGCACAATTTTTCGTAGTAAATGCATGTTTTAGGGTTTTTGAATTGCTCGTTGTCGTTTCTTCAGAATGATAAGCAGAAAAAGACAAAAATCGATAATAAATAAAAAAAATTATCTCATAACTTTAGCATTTTTCAACGACGTGGTCGTTCAATATAACTAAGAGCAAGCAAATCTACTCGATAAAGAATTAAGCTTCGATGATTGAAGGACCTTAAATTGGTTACGGAATTCGCGCTATCGTTGATTAGTTATGTGGATCTTTACTCGCATTATAATTTTCTTTGAATTATTCTTTTGATTCACGAAAAACAAGAAAATAAATACACCCGTTTGAGCATTTCTTGATTTGGTGAACGAACGTGTACAGGTGGCGTTCTTTGTTGGGATACAGATAGACGAGCGGTGTAGGAATGGGGAGACGCATGGGTTGAGTCCCGAGATGAGGCAACTTAGCGTGGTCGGTGCAGTTAAAGTTGCAGTGAGAGGATTGTCTATGGGGGCAAATTCGTCCTAACTGGCTGGTATATGATCACTTCTTTTCGTCGTCTCGATCATATATAGATATTCGAAGGAAAAAAATTGCTAGCTGATGTATAGTTAGGTTTGCCCCCCACTAAGGCGCTCGATCTTTTGTTTGTTGTTGTTGATGAACATGTTTTGGATCTTTATTTTGATGATAATAAATTGAGTTTAGTGTTATCGATGCGTCTCAATTTGAATGATTCTTGCGTTTCGTTTTCCAGGTAAAATCGTGTTTTCTTATGGAAAAAAAAAAGAGATTTATTTTCAAGAATCCGTTTTTCTTTTTCTTTTTTAATTCAAAATTGAAAATATTCGGAATCGGAATTGACGAAATTCGAAAATGCGTTCTAATTTTCACCCCTATTCTTCCCCTTTAATAAGCCTTCTATGCCACATTATGTAGTACGGAAATTTCAACTTCCTAACGTTTCAGACACGTTTCTTGTCGGATACTCCAGGATTCCTACCAAACACTGTATGGGTTATTATGCAATTTTTAAAAAATCGTTTAAATATTTTTTTTTTATTTCCCTAATAACTTACATGATTTAATGATCAATTTCAAATTGATAGTTGGTAGTAAGATTTATTTTGAATATGTTTGTATCAAAATATATATACAAAAAATTATATATAAAAAAAATAATATACATGTTTATCATATTTATAAATATACCGTATAATTTTAATTTACACATTTCTCGGAGCTCCTGTATTCCATAGTTGGATATGCCGTTTCTCCTTGTCCATTTTCCCGTTTTTTCATATCACCATTTCCGTGTCTGTAATACAACCTACTCGGCGGAGTAGAGTTGTCCCTTTAATCAATTCACACACCAGTATATAAAATTGACATCATCAATTAATATACAGATCGATATTGGTAAAGTTGAACTATGAGATAGAACATCAATTTAATTATTTAATTGTAGAATCTTCTCTTAAAAAAATAAATAATTAAAATAGGTAATATAACGCACTGCGCAAATTAGCATCCGTTACACGTCAGCCCCAGCTAGATGTCTACGTTGCTGATCTGTACTTGTACTTTTTAGCCCAAAACACATAATGCACGAAATTGAACGCGCTCAACGCGCACATCAGCCAATAGAATCTCTCCAGCTCAAACTCATTCAAACTGCTCCCCGATAACCACGCCTTGTGCTTCGGACCCCCCGTCACGCCGTTAACTAACGACACAATCACCGTGCTCAAATAATACCCAATCGCCAGCGACGCGAACGAAAGTGACGTCGCCAGTGACCTCATACTTAACGGCGCCTCCGTGAAGAAAAACTCCATCAGCCCCGCCAGTGTGAACAGATCCGCCGACCCGAGAAACAAGTACTGGAACCCGATCCACAGAAACGTGACCGGCAAAGGCTCGCCCGAGTCGATCGAACCGGCCGACTCGCTCGCCACTCTCTTCCGTTTGATTTCGACGGATGCCGCCACCGCCATGGCCACGACGGAGAGAACCAGGCCGACGCCGATCCGTTGGAGGTGAGAGATTCCGGTCTCGGATTTGGTCAATCGACGCGCGTACGGGACGATGACGTGGTCGTACAGCGGGGCGAGGACGATCATGAAGACGACGGGGAAGACGGGGAGGGACGACGGCGGGACTTTTAGGGTTCCGATGCTTGTGTCCATGGTGGCGGCTTGTTGGACGGAGAAGGTGGAGAGCTGGGCGAGGCAGCAGTTGAGGACTATTGTGCAGGCGAAGATTGGGAGGATTTTTATTACGACTTTGACCTCCTCGACTTGCTGCACGGTGCATTTCAGCGTCGGCGGGTATTCGATCTCGAGAGCTCGGTTGAGTAACGCGAGGCTTTCCGACGGCGATGGAGAGTCGAGCGACGAAGGTGGTTTCGTTTTCTCTGTGAATTGAGAAGGGCTGCTGATAATGGCAATACTTGCTATGGAGTTGTTTGAGCTTCTCGAAATCGTGCATGAGTTTAGTGCTGAAGCAACGAGAACCTGTTAATTAAAGAAATTAAATGTCGTTTCAATTTTATTGATACCGTTTGACCAGAAAACGTAAAATGTTAAATTTGTAGTCATTTGAGTTGACTTTCTAATCAATCCAACTTGAATCAGCTATTGGATGTCGGGTGAGAGATATGCATGGATGATTGAACATTGACTGCAACTTTGATTTTCTGAGTTTTCTGAGATTCGAGTTGTAATTCATTCATGCATTAGTCGCTAATTCGACATCCAATTTAGTTGACTCAATTTGGATTAAAAAGTCAACTCAAAGCGATACAAATTTAGTGTTTTTCCAAATTCGGACTGAAAAAAGATCAAAATCGTATTTACCGTTTCATATATGATGTAAAAAAGCCGTTTTTAGAGATGCAATGATATATATAGAAACGTACCTTACATATAGTTGTGAGTGGACTACCGAGGGGGATCTTGTTCCTATAACAAGACGAACCGCACAAGAAAACCGGGATAGACAACAATATCGCCAAAGTGGAGATTCCGAAACCCCATTGCCACCCCATGTTGTCTTCGATCCACACAACTAGGGTTACGGCGATGAGGGCCCCACACGCGAGGGAGAAGACGAAGTAGTTGAAGAAAGTTGATCTCTGCTTTCTCCCGTGTGGGGTGGTCCCGTCCAGCTGTTCCGCCCCGTGAGCTGGCAACGAGCCCTTGATGCCGCCGACCCCGAGGGCTACAAGATATAGGCCCAAATATAGCAATGCAGCCTTTGAACCATCAACATGCTGACACGGCATTTGGTCTGGCTTTGATTGGTCACATTTTGGTGGCTGTAGTGAACCTGATTGTGCTTGCACTGTGAGTATTACCAGGCCCTGTTGTAAAATACAGAATTTGCAATTAATAATTATAATAATTAGCATTAATTAGTAAGGAAAAAAATATATTTATCACAATAAAATAAAAATAAAAAAAATGAGATGGTCATCCTCTGATCCCCATGTGAAATGCAATTAAGTCCATATTCAAAATCAGACATTAATTTCTGAATTTTTTGCCCCCATAAAAAAAATTAAATGTGAGTGAAATACTAGTAATTACCAGGAATTCAATAACAGCGCTGATGAGGTAAATGTAATAAGTGGTGAAGAAAGCATCGGACAAGAAACCACCGACGAGGGCGAGAAGAAACGCCGTCCCCATAAAATTGGTGACGGAGTTCGCCGATTCCGATGGCAAAAAATGCATGTGCTGCGTAAGGTACAACACCAAGTTGCTTGCATTCGCCAGGTAAGCCAAATTCTCCATTACCTCCACAACTGTTACAAATATATAAGCAAAACAATAGAAAACAATAGAAATATACTACAGTAGAACATCGATAAATTAGTAATCTCTCTTAAATAATAATTTTTTCCGCTCCCGACTCAGTATAGACATACTAAAGTATAGACATACTAAATTATTAGTTCCGTTATTTAATATTTCACTTAATTAATAGAATTTTATCAGTCTCAACTTTATTAATTTATAGAGGTTTAACATGTAATTGATTTAACTTATTTAGGTAAAACAAAAAAAAGTCAAAAAATAAAAAAAAAAAGAAATAAAGTAACTTGGTTGGTTGAGGTCATGCAAGAATTCCCACAACTAAAAAGGTGCCCTTTTTCTTTTTTTCATTAACACGCTCACTGTGTGTTTTGTGTGTGTTTTTGCAGGTGATGATTATATGAAGAAAAAGAAGAAGAAGAAGAACTAATTTAAGGTTTATTTATTATTATTTATTATTTATTAATTATTAATTAATTAATTAATTACCCAAAACAAAGAAGGTTGCACGCATGCCGCCATGTTTGGTTCTTGAAGCAGGTTTTCCCCTCCAATCCACATATCCATCCCAACTACTGCTACTATTCAACTGGTTCTCAACTTCCTGATATAATTAATTAATTAATTAATCACAAAAAAAAATGATTTATTTGCAAGAAAATTAAAGAAGTCAGATAATAATTAACCTTAGCACAAACAAAAATACTAGGTATATATAAAATGATTTCAAGAATGCAAGAAAATAAAATAAAAAATATAAAGAATAAATAATGAATTAAAGATCTCACCATCATATTTTGTTCCTCCTGTTTGAACCAATTTTCTTTTTTTTTTTGGGTTGAGAGTATATAATGAAGAGGGTGATGATCAGTGGAGGATAAAATGGTCCAACTCGAGAAGTATGGAATCCTTTTATAAATAAATATATAGTTTGATTAATTAATTTAATTTTGATTTTCTAGATTTTTACTGTAATAGACTGGAGCATCTTGAAACTAGATTCTATTAGTAAGGTCTGGTCAACTACAATTTAATTTAAGATGGAAATTATACTTACTTATTTGAAATTGCAATAAAATATTATCTATTTATTTGACCATAATTGGTATGAGGGAGTTTCCATATATTTATTAGAATTTGAATTATAAAGTAGTAAGTATGAAAGTCAGTTACTTATTTTATCAAAGAGTTGAACAACCAACAATCACATTTTCTTTATTTAATTTATTTATTGCACCATAATTAATTAACTATTACAATTAGGGGGTACTTTCGGTAATTTATTTATTGCACCATAATAATATGAAATATTCAAATATATGTTTTTAAATAAATGGATATTTTTTGGAACATAATTTTATTTGTAACACCTTTTAACATAATTTTATCCAAACACCCCCTAAGTTAACCAAATGCATTTATAGAGAAAAAAAAAAACTATTCTACTTATTTGAAAATTGTGAGATGAAAATGTAAGAAAATATTTATAAAAAACAAAGTGAAGGCTAAAAGATTTTCCACTTGGTAGATAAAGAGAAAAAGTGGAAAAGCATTAAATCCTTTAATTAATTAATTAATTAATCGCATGAAAAAATATAATTACAATACCTTAATGGTTATTTGACCAAACACTTAGGCAACGAATGTGAAAGAGTAGATTCCCCCCACAAACCCTAATTTATGGCATGTTCTTCATTAAGTGTTCCTAACAAATTTGCCATGTTGAACAAGTTCCCAATTTCTTGGCCATTCTTCCAAATTCTTAATATGGTGACTAAATATGCAAAAAAAGATGATAACGAATTTATTCTATGAATTGAAATTCTTGGTCTAGGAGACTAGACAATGAGTGTGGTTTATGATAAAGTGATGCAGGACCCACTTAATTTGGCATTTTTCTGAAGTCTCTCGAGCTAGATAGTTGATCTGAAATACTGGAGTCACTGAACACGAGCTTCGGCCGACCAAACGAACAACATAGCTCGTCCAACCTACAAACTACACTAACATAATGGAAAGTTGATCGGAAATACGGAAGGTTCTGCACATACACAGTGAAGAAACCAACATACACAGATAAGGGGGACCATACCCACCAGCCCTCAAAAAAATTCTTAAATCAATAGTAATTTTCGTATATTTTAGCAAACTTTTGCCGCTTAAAATCAAATAGTGTATTATTTGACTTTCTACAAACATAAAATTCTGAGTTCGCCACTGCACGTAAACAAGCAATACATGATGTACCTTAAAATGATGAAAATTGAAAGCTCGTAGAGCATTTTACTATTTAGTCAATATAGGATTTTTATTTATTTATTTATTCTCATATTTCAATTATATGGTAATTGGGCATGTTGGATTGGAGCCCAATTCTTCGGGCCCATCAAATTTGTATATTAGAACCCAAATTTGGCCTATTGGGAATTAAACCGGTTTATTTAAAATAAAAAATATAAAATAACGGTCGTAATTTGTAAAATAAAATAAAAAATTACCACGTGAAATGGGAATATTGAATAATTGTTTTATTTTTTAAACATATAAAAATGAGTAGATATTATTAAGTAATGCAGGCGATTGGATTCTGTGATGATGTTTGCAGAAAATGAGGCGATTAAATTACAGTACAGTACAGTACTGTGTGATTGTATCTTGTTTCCTAGGTAATTGAAATCTTCTTTCTGCTTTAATACAGCAGTTTGTCTCTCTCAAACTTTCTTGATTCATTCAATATTATTATTATATTATTAGAGGGTAAAAAAATAATATTTTCTCCATTCTATAATAATTATTTATTTTTCAAAAATATTCTTTTTTAATATTATCAATTACTAAAATAATATATATATTTTTTTAAATCTTAATAATCAATTTCTTTGTGAAATGCGATAGTGATTATCTTCTAAAGATACATTCCAACGAACATTTCCAATCAACACATCAAAATTGAAAGTGTTTCAATATTAACTTAAAACTGGGTTCTGTTGCTGATTTACCGGTTTTCGGGTTCTATCCCATTCGACCGCGTTTCATGCAGTTTGCTCAAAATTTTCATTTTTTTCGACTAACGGGTCAGGTCAGCCCGTTTTCATGGTGGGTCGCGGTCGAATCTGATAACATTTGTATTATGAGGAGATTATTTCTCGAATACATAACAACCATCACATTTGGATTGGATACCAAATAATCTTATTTTCCCAAAGTTAAAGTATATTTCATCCAATTTACATTTTTGTGAAAACAGTTAAAAATAGAGTTGAAAACTTATTAAATCATACCAAAAAAAAATTCACCATTTCACATTATGTAAATCAATTGCGTACACAAATTTAAATGAGGGTCAATTTCTAAGAATTGGACTTGTCACTGTAGCTGGGAGGGGGGGGTGGCCCCTAGGGTGGGGTAGGGGGGTGGTTGGCAATTGTGTGGGGTAAGAGCTCTGAGTCACAAAGTAGCCCTAAATTCAAGAGCTGCCTAAAGATGTTGATTGATTGGACACTCTTTTGTTCTCTTCCGTTTCCTTCTCTCCTCCCTGTTATTTCTCTTTCGTTTCTCATTTACCAAACTACCCCTCTATTACATTCCTTTATAAAGTAATTTGATTTTGTATTTTAGTGAAGACAATTTTCACTATAGCGGTCAAATCATGTTTGTTAGAGAGAGAAATATTTGAATTTGTTTTGGGGAAAGTTTTTGAATATAGTGTGAAAAGACAATTTTCATTTTGGGGAAAGTGTGAAAAGAATTTGGAAAGCTTAACAAACATAACCTTTGTTTTTTTGGTCCGTAAGAAAAGATCTAGTAGTTGGAGCAAAAGAGTTCGTGTCAATTGACCCAAGTTTGAATTATTGATAACGATTGGTAGGTCAAACTTGTAACACATGATTAGCCTAGTCTGGTTTATGTCTTGTATGTTTTGCAAGCTTTTATAATGAGGGTGTGTGTTTACTCAGTGCATTTATATGAATTCCAGTTCAATTAGTCACAAACAACCGACACATCTATAAAACTACAGACGAGAAACATGTACGGGCGGAAAATTCTGGTAGTTTTTCGACTTCCATAAATTAAATGTTCAAAAGCTTCTGATTTTGAAATAATATTTTTTTTGTATTGAATTTCAAAGATTATGATTTCCATTATTTGCTTCATAAAAAATATGATTTTTTTTTTGTCAATTTTGATCCAATTTTAATTTCTTATTAATATTTTTTTCACCAATTACATTTACAGTGTCAATATTTCTATTTATTTTATATGATAAGTGAATAAAAAAAAAAATAGAATCTCCAAATAATCTGCGATTTACACTAAAAAAACTCCAAATTTCCAAGATTTTTTAAAACATGATTGAAATTTATTTTTTGCTTCACAACTTTTTATTTTATTTTTACAAAGGTGTTAATAACTTGATTCCAATTCAATCAGTCCGAAAAAAGAAATGGATAAAATCAAGAATGTTTGTCATTTCCTTAATTAAAAAAACACCAAGGGTAGTATAGTAATTGAACATCCACGAGTTCCAGTCCAGCAAGTAAACAGAGCTTTGTTATAATCCCCCACACCAAGCTTTCACGTTTCAAGCTCCTCTCTCTCCCTCTCCCCCCTCTCTCTCTCTCTCCTCCGCATAGTTTTCTTCACTGAAAATCAAATCATCAGCCAATCTCCAATCCTCTGCTTCCTCCCTCTGTAAAGCGATGATGGGTCTTCACCAAATCAACACAATGCTAAACCCTCTCGAAATCCAATCTTCTTCTGCAAAATAATAATAAAAAAAAAATAAAAATAATGGAGGTTGACGGCGTTTATGAAGATTCCCACGTGCCAACCGTTTTCGCAAAGAATGAAATTCTTGATTCTCTCTGGGCTCCAAATTCCTCCCCTTCATTTCATGGTATTTATTTTAATTTTTTTTATTTGTTTAATGATTTCTCTGTTTATTTAATGATTGCTCTGTTTTTTTTTGCTGAAGGCTCTTCATCAATGGTGAACTTCGAAGATGATAAAAATACCGAAAGAGAAAGGCCGTTCTTCGACATCTGCAAATCGGAAAGATTCAACGACGACGACGAGGTGTCGTACGAGGATGAGTATAGCGGCTTCCACAAGCCGGCGGGGAAGAAGCGGCGGCTCATGCCGGAGCAAGTTCTGTTTCTCGAGAAAAGCTTCGATGTGGAGAACAAGCTGGAGCCAGACAGGAAAACCCAGCTGGCTAAGCAGCTCGGCTTGCAGCCGAGACAAGTGGCTATCTGGTTCCAAAACCGACGGGCTCGGTCCAAAACCAAGGTTCTTGAAAGAGAATACGGCTCGTTGAAAGCCAGTTACGACAAGCTTAAGGAAGATTACGACACCCTCTTCAAACAGAACGAGGCCATGAAAGCAGAGGTCAAGAACTCGAATATCAATTAGCAGTTCAGTATATAAATTAATAGAGTCGAGACGAGCAGAATTCTATTAATTTAGCGAAATATTAAATTATATGAACTGAATTAATAATTTGGTAGGTTAATACCGAGTTGGGATCAGAAGAAACGATTATTAATTTAAGCGAGGTTATTAATTTATCGATGACTGGTTTTCTTACTTTCTTCTTTGACCATTTTAACAGGTTGATTTGCTGACAGAGAAATTGGTGATGAGAGAGAAAGTGCTGAGTGAACCCGTTGTTGCTCCGTTGGATTTGCTACCGAAGAATGTGGATGCGGCGAGTAATTCGGCGAAGAGCGACGTTTTCGATTCGGAGAGCTCGCATTACAATACGTTGATGGAGGGTGGTGCGGATTACTCGTCGCGTGTTTTTGAGGTGGAGGGTTCGGGGGAGTTTTCGCAGGAGGAAGAAGAAGATGGCGTCAGCGGGCTTGTGCCGAAGATTGAAGGCGAGGAATGGTGCGGCGACGATCACGATCTGCAACCGAATTCGGGGAATTTAGGGTTTCCTGTTCAGCATCAAGGGACATGGTTATGGCAGTATTGAGTTGGGTTGATTCTTTGGGTTTTATGTATTTGGAAAAAAATGTTGTTTTTATGCTTTGTAAATACTTGTTGAGGTATCAATAACAATAATGGAAGGCTTTTTTAGTGTTTTTTGTTTAAAATTTATTGAATTGTTGAAGCCAATGTTATTAGAACTGGACCGAACTGGCCGGAGCAGTTCGACCGTGACCCGACGACGAGGCGGTCCGGTCTGATCTCTAAAACTAGAAAAAGTGAAAATCGAAATCAAATGACTAAAATTGGGTTCAATTGGTTAAAACACGAGAGCTGATGAATCGGTCAAAGAACCCGATTTTCGGTAAAAACATCTCAAACCTCGAAGGTTTGCCCGATATGGTTATGGGAAAGTCGACCAGGAATGGCCGATTGCGGGATTTGGAGACCAAGGAATCAGAAATGAAAATCGTAAGCAAAAGAAATATGGTAAAAAAAAAATTGGATGAGTTTCGTTGGTTCCATCCAATCGAAAAATATTAAAATATTAAAAATATTAAAAATTCGGTGGAACCAGATCAACTTTATAGAATCATGATTCAAATGGTCGTCCGATTTCATAGCCGGTCGAATTCTGACAACATTGGTTGAACTCGAACCAACTGGCTAATGTTAACTGAATTTTGGGTAATATAAAATTCCCCTTTTGGACTCCCTCTTGAACATCTTAGCAGAGAAACTGCAATCATCTTTGACTACGACTAGCCACATCCCCTAACTTTGCAAATTAATACATTTTAATCTCTACGATAAATTTTAAACAAATGCAACTATACACTATACAATTTAAATAATAAGAATTAATGAGAAGAAAAATTGGGATGGTAGCCTCAAAAGTCAATAATTTATTGGAAAGGGTTCACTACAACGTTTTTCCGTATGACATGAATTTTAGCTGAATTTGGGTTACTATTGATGCTGATATATGTTTTTGTCCTCTTAATTTAAAATTGTTAAATAAAGTGTGAATTGTATTATATCACTATCAAAATGTGACATGAATATCATGCCTATAAAATTGAGTATTATACGTGTCAACCTATCTCTGGATTCCCTCTAAAAGTAACTCAACTATATAATAAAGTTGTGATATATATTCCTAATGATTTGGTTAAGGATAATATAATTAATATTAGGAGTCTAAGTTTAGTTTTTCTATAGCTTCTAGATTCATTTTTTTTATGACAATTTTAGTATCTTTGAGGTTGTAAGAACTTTCTTTGGATTTTGGTGTCCGAAAAATCAAATTATTACAAAATCGTCGACCGATCTAGGGCACCACCGCCATATGGTTGCAGAATGCACAGCAACTTCGAAAATTTTGTGATTTATTTACGTTAATTGACTATGAATTTTACAGTTGGTTTATGTTAACCAACCATGTAGCCATAGTTGACTAACGTAAATCAATTATGAATTTACGCCATTCCCGCACACCAACACCACTACCCTCCGCCAGCACTGCCATCACAGAGCAACATCGGAATCCAACCACCCGACGACACAACCACTTTGTTCCTCTCAACCGAGTCACAAATAAAAGGTTGGAAAGACGGATGAGCGAACGATGTAATAGATGCGATAAGTTAAAATTTAACTGTTATAAATTATTAAAGATAGTATTGATAGATTGTATATTAATTAGTTAGTATAACAAACAAATGAACTATCTCAAATTAAAAAAAGGGGTCCCCTTGCTACATAAATTTGCTAAATAAGAGTTCATGCTAATCTAATTATCCCTAAAAACATCCAAATTTGATTAATCATTTCGAAAGATTAAAATTCAATTCATTAAATACTTTACCCATACCAAAATATAAGCCATCACTCCAAAAATATCTTTTCATTACAAGAAATTGTCAGCAATGTACAGCACCACGAAATCCAACACCAGTATATTACGATATTTAATCAAAACCAATCGGATACGGCCGCGTGGCACTTTCAGTATACACGTGGTCTCGTAAAAGCAATTCTACGTCAAACATGGCAGGCAAGGCAACCATGCGAATCTGACACCACGGACAGGTGGGCCCCATCTGTGGTGTCTGGACCTGCAACGTGGCGGGCATCCTACGGTTTATCAAATCATGGGCCCCACATCTCACTATCTAATGGAGATAAAGATAAGAATATAAATTCATGGAGGAGTCAGTTTCAATTTTTCATGGGGGCCCAATACTTTTGGACTTAGTCACTAGTGAAATTGCAATTGGGCCCTTACCTTTTGTTTTAATTCTTTCTTCGATACATCAATTAAATTATAGATTTAATTTTTTTTTTCTTTTTGTTTTAACCTTAAAAAAATTGAATTAAAAATTAAACAACCGAAAATAATATAAAAAATCTTGACCAGCTAAAATTAATAAAAACAATAAATAATTTTGTTTCTCAATGCTTAAATATTATACTAATTAATTAAATTAAATGGGTCGTGACAAAATTCTAATACTAATATATAATAATAGCCACTTGGAATTTTTTAAATGTCACATATGTTACATTCACTGTCATCGGATCCCCAACAGTCCACGTGCGGTCCGCAGTCATGACGTCATAGGGACATTCACACAGTATCATGATATGAATGTTGAATTTGCAGATACATATACACATGTGTATCTATCTATCTATCTACTAATATCTTCCATGCAACTTGTATGTCGCGGTAAAGGGTGAAAATCGAACGTATCAGATTTAAGTTAATAATTTCCGAAGTCCGAGAACAAATTTCAAAATTTTGAAGGGTAGAATGATAAAAAACTTGTCTAAAATTGAAAAAAAAATCGGATGAGTATTGACATAATCCGATATTTCCAATCAATAATTCGTTATTATATAGATATGATAAGTGTAATTTTAAAAACAACGATAGTATATTCGGAAATATATGTTCATATATTCAAATAGAATATTGGATATCGGAATATGTATTCGGATTCCATTAAAATACTCGGAAATCGGAAAATTGGATGCATCTCGGAATTCAGAATTAAAAATATTATTGAGTAAACGGATAAAATGTTTCGATTATATTTCCGATAGTTAGGGCAATGTCCGTACCTAATACCACTCGAGCAATCCTTTCGTGGTTTGTTAATTATCATATATAAATAAAGATATAGATATATTTTATCCTCTTAATCTTCAAAAATAAATTTGAAACAAATTAAAGACATAATCAAGATAAGAAAATTATTATATCGGAGTCGTGAACAAGCAACGAACAATGTGAGCGAAATGCGTAGAAAGGCCACATTGGATCCGAAGCGCGTTCATTTGTTTCTGATTTAGTTTAAAAAGAGTTCTGTCGGGAGATTCTTTGTAGCATCTGCATATATCCTCCGCCTTGTAACTTTCCCAAACTTGGGCACCCGAACAACATCCGCGGGTCGGTACGTTGTCCGACCCGGCTATGAAAGCTCCACATGGGATTATGCTATCTATAGGAACTTGGGAACATTCCAAGGACTCGCACACACTGGAAAATAACCCTAGAAGGACCATCAAACCCAAAACATTAATAATTAACCTCTTTGCCATTTTTATTTTTATTTTCTTTTTTCTAAATTTAATTTTGGTTCTTGTATGAAATAAATTGGTGCCATATATATATAGGAGAAAATAAGCGATAAGGGAGAATTGAAGATTCTCCTTGATTCTAGAGAAAATCAATTTGGATTCTTAATTTCCCATTGATTTAGTTGTAGATATATTGTAAATATATTTTTCTTATTTTGTAGAATATCTCTCTTCTGTAATTATTCTACATATTGAAATTAAAATGCTAAATCCCACATTAATTTTACGAAATTATGCACACTTCTCATTGTGTCTCTTAAACACTTTTAATAAGTATATACTTCAACAAAACAATTACGTATTTCTTGTATTTTATTTTATTGAAATTTCGACCGTCGATGTCGGATTACATATATATTACATCGTATTACAATCCATTGTTGCAGTACATACCATATAGTGATGTATATAGTTCAAGATTTATTTGATTTGATGCCTAACTCAATGCTGAAAATTTGAAAAATCTTATTCATTAGTTATTAAAAAAATTTAGAAAATTAATAATATCTTAAATTTATTTAGTACATATTCCAGATTAATAATATGTAGAACCCTAACTGAAGAGACAGGTAACAATATTAGCAAAGTGGTCAGAAAGGCCACACTCGATCCGAAGCGCATTCATTTGTTTCGGATTAAGTTTAAAAAGAAGTCGGCCCGGCGATTCTTTGTAGCATCTGCATACATCATCGACCGAGTAACTTTCCCAAGCTTGAGCACCCGAACAACACCCGCGGGTCGGTTTGTTGTCCGACCCAGCTACAAAAGGTCCACACGGGACCAAGCTTTCTATATTCACTACGGAGCAATCTAACGACTCGCACACGTTGAGACAAAAACTTAAAAGGACCATCAAACCGAAAACACTAACGAGTAACCTACTCATAATCTTTGCCATTTGTTTATTTTTTATTTTTATTTATTTTTTAAGTTTAATTTGGTTATTGTATGGCACAAGTTGGTGCCATATATATATTGGAGAATATTCAATATGTAATTCGAAGATTACATATTTCTTATATTGTATTGAAATAAATAATATGAATACTGAAAATTTGTATCGGGTCGAGGTTAAATTCGACCAGCGAATTACAAATAAGATTATGTGATTAATTTGCTTACCTAAATGCTAAAGATTCGATCGATTTTGTTAAATTTATTTCGTATGAAAACATATATAATGTGAAGGAATTCATGCTACTAGCCATATTATCACTAGAAAAAGAAATATCATAATAATTTCAATATTAAATTTTATTTAGTATATAGTGTAAATAATCAGATGTATCATCTAATTTCCCAAATTTCGGCAAGAGAATTAATTACAAATTAACAGGATCTTCTATCCTATAATTTCATCATATTATTCTAGATCTAATGCAAAAGAAACACGGCGGATTATATATACTGCAGCAAATTCAGTACGTAAGACGTTGTATTTCAGTACCATGCAAAAAAAAGCAAAAAAAAACAAAAAAAAACAAAAAAAAAACAATTGAAAACTGCAAATAAGTAATTAATAATTTAGATTTATAGAAGTGTCAAAAATAAATATTGCACTGGAAATTCCAAAAAAAAAAAAGTAACACCTAGAAACCCTAATAAATTTTAAATATAATCTAGGGCCCGAACAGACAACGAACGATAGCGGTAAAGCGAGGAGAAAGCCCGCATTCAGTTTGAAGAGATAGCATTTTATCTCGGTTGAGTTTGAACTGTAGCCTGCCCGGTGAATTTTGGTAGCATCTGCACATACTCTCGTCCCAATAATGATCCCAAGCTGCAGCACCCGTACAGCATCCACGTGTCGGCTTGTTATCCGATCCTGCTATGTAGGCCCCACACGGCGTTAGTGCTTCTACCGGAGCTGCTAAGCAATCGCACTTTCCGCTCGGAGCTAAACCTAAAAGTATCAAACCTAATAGACAAAAAACTAAACTTATCGTAGTTTTCGCCATTTCCTTTATGTATTTTTGCTTTGTTTTGTTTTTAATTACTAAAGCTTTGTTCTTGTAGGGATATATATAATATTTTGTTGAAGTAATTAATATGGAAGCTTGAAATTAATATGGGTTTTGAGCAGAGATTAGTAGGAATATTTCAAGATTAATGTGATTTAGCTACCTAAATACGAAATATTATAATCTTTGTTCAATATTTTATTTCTTAATTATGAAGATATATAGTAGGTTTTTCGATCTGAAGATCTCATTATGAATTTTAGTATCGAAGTACGATTTTATTTCTTTTTATTATATTTGAGTGAAGGAATAGGAAAAATAATATATTTAATTTTACAATTAGGGATTTGATTTGTCCATTAGTACGTACTAATTTAGATAGGGTATCAGGCTCATGCATGCATTAACTGAAATGATTTGTGCAGGCCAAAATTAAACATTCAGGCACATTTTTTACCATTTTTCAAAAAACAAAAAGTAAAAAAACTCAAAACTCTCTCAACCTTTCGATTTTCTTTCGCAAAGCCCGTGCAAATCGTCAACAGATCGGAGGTAATTTTTACGTTTTTACGATCCTCTTGTTATGTAGATTACGAATCCGGAAAAAAAAAACGAAAAAAATCACACGTTGGCCTGCTCGTGTGAATTTACACGAGCGCATCCACTGTGCTCGTGTAAATCCACACGAGCAGGCATTTTTATTATTTTTTTTTATTTTTTTTAATTGCTCGTGTAAAAACACACGAGTGGTTGAAAGTTTTTAAAAAAAAAAAAAACCATAAATCAAAACCGCTTGTGTGTTTTTACACGAGCAGATTATTATTAGTTTTTTTTTTTTTTTTTTTGATTTATAAGATGCTCGTGCAAAAACATGCGAGCATTTCAACAGTGCTCGTGTGAAATCAGATGAGCACTGTTGAAATGCTCGTGTGTTTTTGCACGAGCACAAAAATTTAATTTTTTTTTTTTTTTTTATTTTTAATTGGGTAGGAATAGTACAAAAGGTAAATAGTTATGGTAAAAAGGTAAAAAATCATGGTAAAAAAGTGCCTGAATGTTTAATTTGGCCTGCGTATATCACCACCCATGCATTAAATGTGGTGCTGACGTTGTTGTTCATATTGCACCTTGTTTGTTTTGGGCCCAATGAGTTTTATATTGAGCCCATTAATCTAATTTTCTCTAAGACGGCACGAAAACAGGCTCTATAGTATAAAAAAGCCCATGTAATTAGTCTAGATCTAGAACTTCAATTTTGACCGTTGATTTCCATCTATTTGATCAACGCCATTCATTTGAGGTATTTGACCTCCATCTCTCTTTCAAATACTAATTTCTGATTTTTCTTCTCTCTTTTGGTCGATACCACCGCACTGAATGCACCTTGGTATAACTCTGATCCGTCAAGTTTAAAACCATTAATGAGTCAATTTTATTTATTAAAAGGAGAGAGAGAGAGAGGGGTTGGTCAATTTTATTCTACACCTTGTGAAATAAATCGATAGATTTTTACTATTCACCAACACAAGATCGCCTACAAACAACAAAAGTTTCGAATTAACCTACAAACCCTTCATGTTTCTTGTTTATTCACTTTTGGCCCTTCATATTTTCCACCATACAGTGCACTAAGTCAACTTGTCATGTCAAGGGCACGAGTCGTCACTGCATTATAAAACAATAATGTAATTCAGAATATTACAAAATATTGTAATAATTTAAAACCACATTAAAAAAATTTACATTAGATGTAGTTGGGGATGGAATTGAAATAAAATACCCAGATTCCACAATTCCGATCTGATCAGTCCAAATTTACATCATCCAACGTATAATAGAAGAAAAATGACTTACAATATACAACAAAAAACATCGGAAAAACGATCGGTAAGGCCACATTCGATCTTCAGACGTGCAATTGTTTTCGGAATAAGAGGATAAGGCAATCGACCCGGCCAAGTTTTCATGCATCTGCACAACAAAGACCCGGGTTCAAAATTTTCCCAAGATCGGCCACCCGAACAACATTCGCGGGTCGGTTTGCTGGCGGATCCGGATATGTAAGGCGCACATGGCGCCAGGTCTAGTATTGGAGCTATGGTGCAATCTACTACTCCTCCCTCACACACTCTGATTCCACTTGCAACAAAACTTACAAAAATCGAAATTAAAACACAAGATGCCCTCATTTTATTATTTCCCATCATTCTTTTTTCTTGTTTTTTTCTATGGCAAAAATGGGTGCCATATATATATAGAGAGAGAAGCATAGCCCGTCTTATTTTAAAGGTAGATTACACTAATTATACTCGAAGTTTGACTTCTTTATATTACAAAGGGCAAATTACGATCTAACCCCTGAGGTAAGGTCATATTACGAAAAAATCTCTCTTGTTTGAAAATTAAAATCACCCTCCACTATGTATTTTCTAACACATTCATCCTTACAGTATCAAATTTACCTACTGATCAAAGAGGAATCTTTTTGTAAGACAATATATAGTTGCAGGGAGTGGTTATAATCAGCCAAATAAGAGGGGTATTTTCGTAATTTGACCCTATTACAAGATTTCGGATAAATATTACTTGTTGAAATAAGGGATAAAGATCCTAGAAAATTAATGGGTTTGTAGTTTGTACAATTAAATGAAAAACAAGATCTTCAATCCATGATTGCAGATGGATGTCATATTCCAAGATTATATACTATGTTATAACATTTTCCTAAAATGGAAAAGATTATGCATTATAACTGTCGAATCATCGATCCACACATAAAAAAACAAAAAAGAAGATGCGGTTTGTTAGATGCTACACCCGATAAACTTTATACCAAATCGACAATAATACAACTCTAAAAGAAACCCTCGACGGAATTTTTATTACGAAATCTTTTCGCAATAGGCCTTTTTTCGTGGTCACTAATTAAGCTCAAAGCAGTTATTAAATCTAGTAATTATTCTAAATTTATTACGAACCTGCATCAATTTGATGCAGTCGATAAATTTTTCAGACCACGAAGAATACTCCACATGAACGTGGAAATGAAAAATAAAAGTACGCCGGTTAGGACAGCATATTTGAGTCCTAGGTTAACGAGCAAATTTACCAAAAGGGCAGCTAATACCACACCGACAAAATTAGCCGAAACTGCCGACCAGAACGGCATATCCAATACAGATGCTATGAAAGCTCCGGTCCAAGCTCCTGTACCGGGAAACGGCACTGCCACAAATAGCATTAATCCAAGCCATTGAAATTCTTTCACCGGACCCGCTTTCTGTTTGGCCCTCTCGAATAACATGTTGAGAAATCGAGAGGCGGTTTTGTTGTTTACGGTGAGAAAGTTTGCGACTTTTTTCAGGTATAGTACGATGAAGGGTACGGGTACCATGTTCCTGTCATTGCAAAACAAAACGTTACCAGGCGACAAAAATTAGAAACAAAATCGAAAAGTACGTACATTGTTAAAGAAACGGGGAGCGCGCGTGTGTTAAATCTAGTGATCGGGGACTTGCGAAATCAGACCCATAATGCGATAATTACTTTCAAGATTGATAGAATTTTCAATTCACCGAAACTTTGAAAACCGTATTTTGTTACGTTTTCTACGATCGAGTCGAATTCGAATCAAACTTCGTGATCGGTTATGAAAATAAGGTTTTGATTAGCTATTGTAGCAACCTTTTGTTCACATCATATACTAGGCTAATATTTAAATAAACACACACAGACACACAACACACACACACACACACACAAACACACACACACAGACACACATCCACAGACACACTCACTGTCACACACACACACACAGTCACACACACACAGACAGAAGAATAGAGAAATGTGAGACTGACCCAAGAATAGAGAGGAGAGTGAGCACTAGAGGCGTGAGCTGCAGCCAATAACCAACGGGAATAGCGCCACGTAGCTCAATCACCGGCAGCGTAGCCAAGGCAAATACAACAGCTTCGTCGGGCCAGCCCGAGGCCCGAAGCCCGTTGGCGACCTTCACGCCAAAGCCCGAAGCCCTAATTGAATCGGCGCCGCCGATTGCGGCGGCTCTGGCATCACCGGAGAATGCGTAGAACCCAAGAGACAAAGATGCCCACAGCAGAACCCAGGCGAGGAATTTCACCGGTTTATCCGCCGACCCGGACAAAGATTCGTCCTTTTGCTCGATTGTTTCGAGAATCTCGTGTGGCGAAGCTCTCGTCGATCCGAATTGGGGGACTGAAGATCGAAATGGAAGCAAGGACTGTGGATTAGCGAGGATTTTTTTGCGTTGAGGTGAAGAAGAGTGGATTCTTTGCGCCGAGAGTGAGGGTTTGTGGCGTTTGATTTGAGAGGTTGTTAGAAGGGTTGGTGGGTGTAGTAAAATTGAAGCCGCCATTGATGGGTATGAAGTTTCAGACAGTTTGGAAAGCAGAGATTGGGATTAGGGCATTATCTCTGCTGACAATTTCTTGTTCATTGGTGGTTCAGTGCTGCAGCAGTGGGATATTTGTTGAGATTAATAAATAACTATTGTCTGGATTAGTGCGGCAAAAAAAAGATTAAGATAAGAACAAGATGATTAGAAGTGCAAAAGAAACAAAAATGTATCCATTGGGAGGATTAATCGAGGTACAAGGATTAACAGATTGTATTTATACCAAATAATACTGGATTTGCATATCTTGATTTTTGCAGGATAGTTGACTTGGGATTTTCTAATTAGGGCAATTTCAGAAATGTTACTCGGGTATATTTTTATTTGTGTAATTTACAACCGCCTGCTGCTGCGTTAATGTTAAATTACGAAAAAATCATTATTGTCTAGATAATTACAATCGTTCAATTAATTATGAATCTTCTTACAAGTCCGCTCTTTTGATCTCAAATTCAACAGAATCTAAACTGTTGAATGCTCTCTAGTTTGTATGCAAAAAATACAGTTTTTTTAAGCACATCAATCTGATATTTACAAGCCTAGAGACACATTTTATGATTATCTTGTTTCAAAAGTATGCAGCTCGAATATTGTAAGACGAGTACAAACTGGAGAATATTCCACATAACTTATAAGATTCCATTAAATTTAACACTACAAGGAGTGCAGGTGGACGTATAATAAAATTCATAGTCGAGGCGTAATTGTATTTACATAATAATGAAAAGATTTGTTTTCTCTTAATTTTACCTTATCTCATAGGGACCGTAATTAACAATTTTTATTTATTTAAAAAGGTTAAAATGATTTTATTTTTCTTCCCACAAAGTTAAAAAAAATTAATTAAAAGGAGTATTAGGGATTAGCTCAAATAAAAATATAAATTAATGAACTTTAATCGAAAAAAAACAATTTAATTTGGAAAAGGAAAAGGTGGGGGAATAATTGGACCAAAGCAGTAAGAACAGAAGCCCATTGACGAACAAACAAACGACAACCTGCGGCCGCATTCGAATGAACAACGTTAATGGAAGAAAATACAGTAGTCCAAGAATCCGACGACGAACAAGATATCTGGAGCTGGGGCGCCGGCACCGACGGTCAGCTAGCGACGGGGATCCTTCAAGATGAGCACACCCCACAGCTCCTCCGCCCCCTCTCCTCGTCTCTCGGCCTCGTCACTTCTCTCTCTTGCGGCGGCGCCCACGTCATCGCCCTCTCCTCCGGTAAAATCTCTACCATACACGTATGCATTCTCTGTGTATATTTTCTTGATGGGATTTTCATAATTTTATTTTTGGGGGTGGGGGGCAGGTGGAAGAGTGCTGACGTGGGGGAGGGGCACTTCTGGTCAATTGGGCCACGGCGAGATGGTCAACTGTCTGCACCCCAAATTGGTCAACGCTTTTCAAGACTCTGTTGTTACTCATGTTTCTGCTGGCTGGAATCACTCTGGCTTTGTCTTAGGTTGTTCTTTTTCCCCCTAATTCAAGATTATGTTTTTTTTTTCTTCTTCATTGTTTGTTAATTATGAAGTTCTTCAATTGATTTTTCTAATGGTGAATGAGTTGATATTTTTTCGATATCGAATTATTTCGTGTGTTAGTCGATTTATCGATTGAGGATTTAATTTCTTTAAGCATCTTAACTTTCTCAATATTTGATGGTGAAAATGATACTATTTGTTTAGAGAATGGTGCTGTATTCACGTGTGGAGATGGTTCGTTCGGTCAACTCGGTCATGGTGATTACAAATCACAAAATCTTCCTCTCCGAGTCTCGTATTTTGTTTCTAAGCGCGTTGAGCAAGTCGCTTGTGGGATGCGGCATTCGTTAGTTTTGCTCAAAGGTAAATCGCTGGAATATACGAAACTCTTACCCAAGAAATATTTCAGATATAAATTGAACCAAAACTATCGAAAATATGAAATGTGCACGGTGCAGGTAATTCGGAAAATCGGGTTTACGGATTTGGATTGGGAAAACGCGGTCAACTCGGTATATCTACCGAAAAAGTAAAGTCAACTAGCCTTCCTCAGATCACCATAGGGTTGACAAATCTTGAAATCGTCAATATCAGTGCAAATGGAGATCATAGTGCAGCGTTAACTGGTGAGACCTCCGTTTTATTAGCCCAATTTTCGTAATGGATAAATAAAAAATCGTTCTTGAAGTGTACTAATCATCGTATTAATATAAGTGTTAATGATGTTAAAGCCGATGGAAGTCTCTACACATGGGGAAGAGGATTTAGCTGTGCTTCAGATGAAAGTATTCCTCGTCTTTTCGAAGCAGCTGTTACAGTCGATGAGGTTGCTCTAGGATGGAACCATGCCTTACTATTAACAAGTATGAAATCTTAATTTTTATTTTTTTAATCGAAAAATAAAAAATAACATGTATTTCGTATTTTCAAAATTCAAAATTTAAATGATTTCATTGCAGATGAAAGGGAGCTGCTCATGCTTGGTGGTGATCGGCATGGAGCTCTAGGTGATCCTCGTACAAAATCGTCGTTGAGTTATATATCAGGTAGTGCTGGCATCTAAATTATTTCTCTATGCTTAGGCTCAAGATAAATTTATTTATTTTTATTCGATAAATTACCTGTTTTTTTTTAAATGCAGTACCGGTTCCGATTCATAATGGTTTTAATTTGCCGTTTTCATAGGAAAATCGAAGGAAGAAATCATGCCGATTATCGAAAAGAAGGTGCTGCAGATTGCTGCAGGAGCAGAACACTCTGTCTTGGTAACAGGCAAGAAATAATCATCGATTTTTTTTTTTTTTTCGTTTTTGCTTTTGAAATTTATTATTTATATTAATATTTTTTAAACTAATCAATATTTTTTTTTTTTGCAGATAATGGATTAATAATGACATGGGGTTGGGGAGAACATGGTCAACTTGGCTTAGGTGGTACAGATGATCAGGTTTCACCTCAGGTGGTGAGTTTAGGCAATACATCGGCTACTAAACACGCCGCTTGTAGAGTGTTTTGTGGCAGTGGATTTTCTTTCGTTTTGAGGAATTGTTCTCAAACGAGAGAAACGAAATAGAGAATTTGAGGGTCATTTTGATCAATATTTACAACCCACACACCAGCCTCGGTTCAAGATTATGGCCTCGTGCGAAATTTTCTTGAATTGGCTGATGCAAATTACTGCAGCCGTAGCACAGTATCCCGACCATTTTCACGATACAGCATAAATAAGGTAAAAATCAAAATATTTTCGGACGATAAATGCAAGAAAAACACGAGAATGGGAACACACTCAGTTTTTTGTGACTGAACATAATTTTGTTACTGCTTCCTCTGTTTCTATTTAAAACTGATTTGTAACACATTCTTTAGATATGCACAATTTGAACCTAACTCCTGTTTTTATTAACTCAGAGTATTTTCGTCTCTTTTACTGTGCTATTAATGTACTCTTACGGAGCGAAAGGATGACATATCTTGCAAACGAAAAACATACACAAGAATCAAGAATTTCCTAATGATAATCGAATTGTCGAGGTTTTCGCATTGCCAAGTTACAATACAAGGCAAGAATCACGAGATCTTGATAGTTCTTTTTTTCTGTGCAGAAACATTCTTCCTATTGTATGCAAAATTGTGCGTTCATTTCACAACGAAAACGTTATTTTCATGCCCGTGGTTCTTGGTGATGGGCCGCAGAGGATCAATTCTCCAAACACCGTCAACGACAAACTTGATCTGCAAGAAATTATAGTAGTCCTTTGATTAGTGCATGTAACTAAACAGTTAACATGGATTAATTAGGGTTTTATGTACTAACCTCGTATCTCCCTGGATACAGCATTAAGCGCACAGAAAAGACGCCTGTTCTTGATTTCTCCATCTTCCTCTGCAATTCATCAAATGCAAAACGACACATTTAATTATCAATCAAGGATCGTAAATTTAAACCATTCTTTAACAATGTCCTTATTAGTTAGTTCACTCTCAACTTCTACTTAGATTTTTTGACAACAGACAAAAAATGGGGTCAAATGGCGAATCTCCCAAGGAAATATAGCATAGTAATAAACGGGAATCTGGTCAGACGTATAGTTCTCCAATTACTTCGTTACGAATTTTATCTGTTGAACTCTTAATTATGAAAATAACTAACCTGAGTTGTCCATCCATCGAAAGAACCGACTAATAGAACCTCGGAAGCTGAATTAGGCCAAACTATGCAGGTGCTTCTGAGAAGTTGCAAAGCTTTATGGGCACCGTCTATCCGTTTCTGCTTCACTTCGACTAGCTTTTGCGCATCACTGACAGAATAAAAACAGATGAGGAGATTGAATATCGAGGATGAGAGCTAAAAATACCATTAAATATATTAGACGACACACATACATTATTGCTAATGCCATTTTCCCCTCGAGTACAGCTAGATTGGCTTTTATAGATCTCAATCGCTCTTTAGCTCTCATGAACTCGTTTTCTTGGAACTCCCATGCATCAGAAAACTTCCGCAAATCACTAGAATTTGCAGTTACCTAACAAAAAACACTTATTATTAACATTATTCCACTAAATAAACAAAAGTTGTGTATTCTTGATCACACACACACACACACACACACACACACACACACACACACACACACACACACACTAATTCATAGAGTGCCGTTGTTTGACGGGTATAAACTAATGGGAAAGGGAAAATTCAAATAAACATGGATCTGTACAATGTACCTCCCGTGAAATGTGATCCTCCCTTTTAGATCTTATGGAATGAAGAGTTGTTGTAAGTTCAGACGCTGAAGACGAGCTCGTATTTGATTGTAATTCATCTCTGCGGGTTTTTCAGTGGTTACGGTTATTCCATCATGAGAAATTTCTTTATCACTTTCCACTCCATTTTTGCCGAAAGAAATCTCAGCAGCTGCATAGTTCACAGATATTTAACAACACCGATAACAGTAAAATAAACCACTAAAAAATAAACTTGTCAAAGACTAGCAAAATATCAAGTACCTTCAAACTTTTGGAGCCCTGCTCGCTTATGGCTCCAAGTTCTCCAAGTTTCTGGTTCGTCGTTTGGGCTACCATTTTCTCCAATGTCAGTCCTGACTATTAACAAATTAAAAGCACCGAATTCCAAATTTTAGAATACTGTTACATTGAAATATGAACTAATTAAGGCAACTAGGTATACCGCATACAGCTTATAGTTTCCCTTTATTTCATCTGGTTTACCAAGCCCATATGAGTCTAATCTTCGTTCGACTATCTGAATCCAAAGAATAAAATTTCAGCAAAACAACTTACCAGCAACACCTAAATGCATGGCATCTGCTTCCTCTTTACTTTCGGCATGAGCTTCATATCCATTTTTGCCTAAATCGATTCCAAAATTGCTATTCCTGTGCTTCTCCAATCTACTCAATATACCCTCAATCCCGGAATCTACATCAGGACCAAATTCCCTAAGCCTGAAAAAGAAATCAACGGTTAATGTTTTCGAGAATCTTAATTAGCCTGGATCAAAACAATAGGTAAAAAAAATTAAGCTCACAACTTTTGCATAAGTAGCATTATTTTCTGTTTTCTGCCGATGTCGATACCTACCATTGCACGGCTTGTTCAACACGAAGTAGAATTTTAACAGGGTCTACAACGAAACGATATGCTTTTATTTCGTACTGTGTTCTTATTGGTATTTTGAAGTGATAACAACAAATAATCTTTAACAAATGGATGTCTGCTTATTCAAGAAAACATCAAGAAAACCAAATAAACGAAGAAAACAGTCGTAAACGAGGCACATTGTTTAACGATTCTAAGAAAAAAAAAAAACCTCACATTGATTTACTCAACGACGACGAATCAGCCGATTGCAGAGAATCCTGATTTCCATTTTCCGATTTTACCTCGTCAGAAAAGCCATCTTCTTCGTCACCCCGAGAAAAAGAATCATCGTCCTTTTCTCTCATAGAAGCACTCTCTTTACAGCTCTCAACTCTCCTACGGAACTCCCCGACATCAAAATCCACGGCTTCCTCAACATTATCATCGCCCACATTTTCTTCTTCCCAACCGAGCGAAAACCACCCGCCCCTCTTCTTAACAGCCTCCGCCAAATCGATTCTGCCGGCGGCGATTAACTCTTTCCTGGTCGGAAACATCGCCGGCTTCTCGGATTTCGCCATGAAATCCATTATCTCCGCCTCCAATTCCGCGTCCCCTCCACTCAGATTACACCAGCAACGCCAAGAATCACCAAGATATCTCTGAAAATTCCCCGGCCGCCTCGCTTCTGTAAAACCCAAATACCGGCTCGAAATCGCAGCTCTGTAGTCCCTTTTCTTGGGGTTATACTCGAAAATCAAAGAGGGGACGAGAGGAGTGTTCAAAGACGGGAAGACGTGGTGGGAGTTTGGAATGTGGGTGTAGGAAGAGCTTATGAACGAGAGCATCGTTCAGGCATTTCGTCGAACACTTAGTCGACAATCGAAAAAAAAAAAAAAAGAAACCGAATCAACGCGAGAAAGAAGAAACTGCAAAAAGATATGAAGAGGGAGCTTGAGCAGTGAAGCAACGAACAATGTGCTATTGTGCTGGCACAGAGAAACGCAACTTTTATTTAATGCGTCTGTCTACTTGCTTAATTCCTACTTCTGCCCTCGACGCGATTTTGTTATTATTAATTAGTAAAGCGCGTTTATTCATAATATGTGGGGTTTATTCGTAATCTTCCATCTAATTAACTCTACAAAAATGAAAAATGAAAAATAAAAAATTACATATACACTTATACCTCTATAAATTAAATAATACAGTTGATATTAGCAAAATTCTATTTATTTAGCAAAATATTAAATTATCGAGCAAATAATTTAATAGATTTTTACTGAGTTCGGATCAGAAGAAATTATTATTTAAACGAGATAATTAATTTATCGAGGTTATACTCTAATTTTTTCCAGTATTTTGGGGGTAAAATGGTCAGAAGCGGATAAGCATAAATCAAATAGACATTTTGTGGTTTGGAGGGAAATATTTCACAGAAATAGACAAGTGCAAATGGATATAATTTGGGTCAATTAGTTGAATAATGTTTGAGTTGGATCAATACATAAATATTTTGGCAAATTTTGGCTACCTCCCTCCTCATTGAGATAAGATTAAATTACGAAAAAACTATTCATTTAAATAATTATAATTAACCCCGCAATTATATATTGTCTTCAACATTACCTAGTCAAATTGACAATACACCGTTCATGGATGGATTACGTAATTTATTCCAATTATTTTGGACTATTTGTCTTTTCCCTAGATATTTATTATTATAGGATAAGTAAGACGAGGGCTGTATGAAAGAAAACAAAATCATTCTTTGTGATTGTTTGTCTATGTGTGATTTGGTTGGCTCAAATTTCTCAAATTTGAGGCAATAAAAACAATAATGCATGTTCTCGGTTTTGGAAATAAGAGTTGTTCAACAAATTTCACGAAAACTTCGATAATAATCGAGATTTTGTAGATTTGAAAAATCGGATAGAGAAAGAGAAATCCAAGAGAGAGATGGTTATTTAGAGTACTGGAACAACCTATAGATAAATTAGACATAAAACGGGGTAAAAGAGTCATTGCACACTCAAATTTAAAAGACGATAGTTTTATCAGATTCAAATAGTTTCTAGAATTAAACGTTACTAATTATATAAGGCGAGCATTTTTAATTCAAAAGAAAAATAAAAATAAAAGAAAATGGATGTGGAAAATTGGATTAAAGTGAACAAGGAAAACACAATGGAGGGTTCAAATTCATTTCTCAAACCCTTTATTTAGTGGTAAAAATCAGTCGATCGAATCGGAAAAAACATGCTTTTCGGGATTTTGGATTTTTTTTTTTCGGAAGCGAAAATTGATTAAATCTCAGATTCCAAAAAATAAAGACGGAGAAAGTAAAATAGAAAATAAAGCACACTCGTTTTCACTCAGAGGGTGCTGCGGTTTGAACTGCTGGATCACCACCAGCACCACCAGAACCACCAGCATCAGCAGCAGCAGCTTCAGCGATTCGAGCATCCAATTCCATCCAATAAGATTCCGTCGACTCGTCAACGCGGGCGACATAGCGTTGTATTACAGAATCGACGTGGCCGTCAGCATAACCAGATCCATACTTTGAGACGAGGTAGTCCGTTAGCTTCGTCATCTGCTGCAAATCAGCACCCTGCTGCCTATGCAGTAAATAGGCATTTTCGAGGTATCGATCAAGTTCCACGATCATCATCAGCTTCTTGTCGGCCCTAAACTTAGCAACTTCAGCCTCGTCGTAATTATCTTCTTCGGGGAATGGACATTGAAACGGCGGCAGCTGTGGGGGCGGAAGTTGCTTCATTATGGCCGAAACGTCGAAATGCTTACCCAATTCTGTTTTCGCTTCGTCGATTGCGGCTTGCACTTCCTCTAATAACTTTTTTGATAAACATAAATACGCGCCGGCACAGCACCCTATGTCTAGCATTGTGTCCAAGTCCAGCTCCATCTTTTCCTCCTTTAACTAATTCATCAGGTTAATAAACAATTATTAGATTAATCAAATTAAACTAATTCCAAGCCATGCATGCAACACTAAACAAATTCAGATTACAATGTAAATTCAACCCTAATTTCGTTGCACCAAATTTGGGGGAAAACTGATGTTTCTCTCTCTCTCTCTTAGACCCTCAGATTTATATAAATAAGAATTGTAACGGATAAACAAATCATAACAAACAACCCAATCGGAATTCACATTCAAAACGCCCAAAACAATCACAAGAAAACCCTAAATCAATAATAAGAAAATAACCCTCAATCATCAATATAGTAAGAAAAATAAGCATAAATCAATAATAAGAAAATAATAATGCAAGCTCACCTTGTTGAAATTATGTTGAAGTTGAAGAAGAAGAAAGGCAAAGTTACAAGAAGAAACGAATTCTTGATTATTGGAGAAGAGAAGAAACGGCCTTATAAATAGGTAGACAGTTTGCGTAGGATTCAAGCGGAGCGGAGTCTCTACTATAGGAAACCTTAAACAATAAAAACATTTCCATAAATATATTCTCAAATTTTCCATATTTCCTAAAATTTACCGAGATATCTCTGGAATTTGCCCACCCGCCACACTTCTGTAAAACCCAAATACCGGCTCGAAATCGCAGCTCTGTAGGAGTTTATGAGCGAGAGCATCGTTCAGGCATTTCGTCGAACACCTGAGCAGTGAAGCAACGAACAATGTGGCGCTTCTATTCATAATATGTGCATGGGTGTTTGCAGAAATATTTTATAAAAGTAGGGATTAGTGATAATTAATAGCTAACTCCATTGGGAGATATCAAAATGGAGCATTAAACATTCATTTGATGCTTGATATAATATTTTGATACTTCTTGAAAAAAAATCCACTCAAACCACAAGTATCAAATAGATTATCAAATTTTAAGTATATGAATAATTATATTTTTAAATGGCACATGTCGAATAGTGGTAGGTTAATTGGGTGGTTATATTTTTGATACCTCAATTTCCAATGAGAATTTTTGGACCTCGAGGTGGTTGAGTATCAGAATAATTCTCACTTAATGTCTCCATCGGAGGAGGATTTTTTAATTTTGAAATATCAAAATGATAGTTTTTTCGTTTGATACTTCATTTAGTGTCTGCATTGGAGTTGCTCTAAACTAAATTAAGATAATTACTTTTTCTTTAAAAAAATTGTGGGTGTTTACAAGTAACAGAAATAATTAATTTAAAAAGGTTAATATGTTTGTAAATAAACTTTTATTTTTAGCTTATTTTTGGTCAAATACTTAAATTTAACGAATAAAAGAGTTTAGAATAAAAAAATTGAATTAATTATTAATTATAATTGTAGAAAAATCATAGAAAATCGCATTACCTAATGAAGAACAAGTGTTGGGCTTTTTTTTTCTAGAAATTATTTCACAGTTAACAGCAATAAGAAAAGATAACTTACGGCCCAACTCAAAAGGTTGGGTATATTCTGTTAGGCCCTTTGGTCTAAATTATCTAAATATAAAAACAGAAAGTACAAATTATATATATATATAAATAAGGAAAATGCAAGCAAAATGAAAAATACTATATCCAAGCCAAAATATTTTTTGTTTTGTGAAAATTTTCTTGTTCAAACGATCACTGAACTCCTATTATTCAGTCAATATAACATAGTAGTAGCAATCAAACGAGGCCTTGAGAGTTTTCAATCACTAGCGGAGCCAGAATTTGAAATTCGAGGATAGAGGGGGTTGAATGCATTAAAAAAATCTTAGGGGACCGTTAATGCTATTAACTGCGAGCTAAATAGTATATAATAATTAAAAGCAACAAATATTTTGATGAATAAAATAATTAAAATAGATGAAAAAAATAAAAATATCTATCAATAAATGTACCTTCTTCCTATACCTTACCCTGAACACTGAACTGGGCATAATCCATCCACACACACACACCCCAAAAAGGCACAGCTTCAGTTCTGGGCATAATGTTTGCACACCAGTCAAGACCAAACATTTAGGTCTTGTTTGGCAACTTTTTTCACTTTTTCTTTCCCACTATACCTATTTATGATTTCCCACTAAAAACTTCGATTCCAATTTTTGCACATCTATAATTTTATGTTTTTATTTTATATATTTCACTTGAATAAATAATTAATTGATATATATATATATATATATATATATATATATATATATATATATATATATATATATATATATATAGAGTTTATTTTTATACGCTAGGACTATTTATATTATTTCTTTTAATACTTCTTATGTTTTATCATATTATGCATATTCTTTTTAATTGGTGCACGAACAATATTGTTCATGAAGTTCAATAAACCGAATTCATCCTCAACTAATTAAGGAGATTAGATATAAAATTATCATATTCGATTTGCATATAATTAATTTTAATTTGGGAAACGTTCTCCAATGAAAGTTTACAAAACAGAGGCACGGTTGGATATATAAATATAAATCGATACATATTGTTAATAGCTTATAAATTTTTTGGTTGAGGTGATCATTTAAATAAGGTGTCAGAGTCGACATATATATTGAACGATAAGCTTTTTGTCAAGTTCGTTACTCCAATATATATCGTGTTTCTTCTATCTTCAAACATGAAAAAGAAAAACAAAATTCAAATTGAATGACAACGACTTTAGGAAGAATGTTTATAGATTACAATCACTCCTGAGGCATGGTCAAATTACAAAAACCCTCTCATTTTTTGCTAATTATAATTATCTCCTCAACTACGAATCTTCTTACACGTCCACCCTTATGGTGTCAAATTCAACATAATTTTAAGATTTTATGAAATTTTCTATAGTTTGTACTTATTTTGTGCAAAAATGCAGTTTATGATGCACGACAATCTGATGATATATACAAGCCGAAAAACACATCATATGATCATCTTACTTCAAAATGTGAACCTCCAATGGGATAAAACGGGTACAAAATTAAGAATGTTCCACATAATCTAGAAGATTCCACGAAATTTGACACTGCAAAGATGGACGTGTAAAAAGATTTATAGTTGAGGGATAATGGTAATTACCCAAACATGAATGATTTTTTTCGTAATTTAACCATACTTGAAGGGTATGATTGTAATTTACCCATACAATGAAATGGTTTACAAATCCAAGTTTAACAACGGAAAAATGGCAAAGGACAAAACCACACTCGTGATTCATAGGGGGGCAGAAATTTGAAAGCGCCCCCCGCACCCCACCCTTCCCCCATATGCCATGCTTCACTGCCGACCTCCCACCGAAAGCCCCACCATTTGTTTTGACATTTTCTTCTGTGCCAAATTACTTTAACCAATTATCAATTATTGAGCTAAAAAAACAAATTACTTTTTAGATCAAATTCATCGTACATAAAGAGCTCATTTTGCTAAATTTATTATAAATAACTAATAAACTCTTTTACATTTATAACCTAAAATGATTTAAGAACTAATGATAAGTTGTCACATCTTAAAAAGATCAATACCAACTTATTTTTTGAATTTCTACGATTTTTCTTAAAAAAACTATGTTTAGTATAGTTTACATCTCCAGTTTTATATACAATATATATGTGTGTGTGACTAAAGTTTCTTTATATTATTATTAAATAATTATTTAGTTATTTTGTAAAATAGTATAATTTATTATGTATTTTTTAGATTTATATATGTCACATTAGTTTCATATATACATATGATTAGACCTGGCCACGGTTCGGTTCGGTTCCGGTTCCGGTTCCAAACCGCCGGTTCCGGTTCCGATTTTGGAGGAACCGGAACCGAACCGAAAAAATCCGGTTCCTTGCGGTTCGGTTCCTAACCGGTTCCGGTTCGGTTCCGGTTCGGTTCCCGGTTAGAACCGTAGAACCGTTCGGTTCTTAATAATTTTTTATTTTATATATATATATATATATATATATATATATATATATAACTTAAAAAAAACTTAAAAAAAAAACTTTTAAAAATAGTTTTTTTTAAAGTGTTTATATTTTAAAATAATAATTTTTTTTTAAATACGTAATTTATTTTTCTTAATACTTATATATATATATATATATATATATATATATATATATATAGAGAGAGAGAGAGAGAGAGAGATACATACAGATAGATATATATATATATATAGATATAGATATATATATATATATATATATACATACAGAGAAGTATATATATATACATATATATATATATATAAATATATATACAGAGAGAGAGATATTATATATATAGATATAAATATATATACACAGACATACATATATATAGAGAGAGAGAAAATTAATTTTTTTTTTTTTTTTTTTAAAACCGGTTCAAACGGTTAGAACCGCGGTTCTAACCGTCGGTTCTCGGTTCCAAAAATGAGGAACCGGAACCGAACCGGTTTTTTCGGTTCCGGTTCCGGTTCCGGTTCGGTTCTAAAACCGTTGACCCCGGTTCGGTTCCGGTTCCGGTTCCGGTTCTAACCGAACCGGTGGTCAGGTCTACATATGATAAATATGACTTATATTTACTCAACAAATTGGGACAAAAAGAAATAATTACAACCTTGGAAGTCGAAACAGTACGAAATAATAATTTAGAAACAAGAAGATATTTCATATATGTGTCATACGTAAGGCAGAGAATCAGTCCCATGCTATGTGTGTGTGTAGATATATATATATATATATATATATATATATACAATTGACATATCTGTCCACGCATTGGTTTATCTATCTCTATATCTATATAAACACACACACAGCTGCTCAGTTTTTATTGCACATAGCTGTATACTCAAACCATATACATATACAGTGATACATATATATATATTTATATATATATATAAATACGTACAGAGAGAGGTGCTCAGTGTGAGTTAAGATAAGAATATGGAAGCTTCAGAGAAGAAGAAAATTGTAAACTCTTCTTCTTCTTCTTCTTCTTCTTGGCTTGGTTTCTGCACTAAGTTCCAATGTTTCCCCATAAATTCTTTTTCTAAGTCGCCGCCGTCTCCGCCGCCGCCGCCATCTCCGCCGGAAAATGGATGTGATGAAGCAAAACCAGCCCAGAACCAGAGGCGGCCTGGAGGGTGGAGATCCATGCCTTTTATCTTAGGTACTCTCTCTCCCTCTCTCTCTCTCACACAGACACACACTCACACACACACACTAACACACACACACAGAGACACGCACTGAGAGGTGCATTTACACATAGTGAGTGAGCCATGAGACGTATATATGTTGACACGTGTGTCGATAAAACATGTATGGGTGCATGGACACATGTGATTAATTAATTAATTAATAATTATATAATAGTAACAAACTCATGCTATTATTATTTTACTACTTCGGTTAGAAGATTCCTTTGTGAATTCATGTAGCACTTATCTCTCATCATCTCGTTAGTTCTTTCTAGCTTTCCCCCAATAAAGTTAGTAATAATTGTTAAATGAATGGGATTCGGTGGCGTATCCAACATAGGACGGGGGCGATCGCCCCCAAATATTTCTCAAATCTCTATTATTTTATATATAAAAAAATATATCGTACGTGTATAATAGAATTAATGCCCGCGGCCATGTAAAATTATTTTAATGAATTCAGTACTCCGAACTTTTAATTCTGGCTCACATATTATATTCATTCATACAACTAATAATAGCACCTGAGATCCTGCACATATTATTATCACATGTGATTTTAAGTTTCAAATTTGATGAAGTTCTTAGAAGAATCGAAATATTTTTTTAACAAAATCATATTCTAATTTATTTAAAAAAAAAATCCAGGGAACGAAACTTTCGAGAGATTGGCCACGATGGGGCTGTTGGGAAATTTCATGGTATTCCTGCTATCGCAGTTCCATATGGACCAAGTGATGGCTTCAAACATGCTCAACATATGGTCCGGCATCACCAATTTCACCCCCTTGATCGGCGCATTCATTTCCGATTCTTACTTGGGCCGATTCACCACCATCGCTTATGCTACCGTCGCTTCTTTCATGGTACGTACAATTTTATATAGATCCATTACATGAATAACAACTTATATATAACAAGTTCAATAAATTAAAACAGGGCATGGTGACAATGACCCTCATAGCATGGATTCCTCAGCTGCACCCTCCACCATGCAAGAACCTACAATCCAATCAATGCTTAGGTCCAACGAAATCCCAATTGGGCGTATTAGCCGTAGCGCTCGGATTTCTATCAATCGGTTCAGGCGGGATTAGGCCATGCAGTATACCTTTCGGAGTTGACCAATTCGATTCGAATACCGAAGAAGGAAGGAGAGGGATCAATAGTTTCTTCAATTGGTACTATACCACATTTACCCTTGTATTGATTATTGCACTCACTTTGGTGGTTTATATCCAAGACTCGGTGAGTTGGGTTTGGGGGTTTGGTTTGCCCACGGCGCTCATGTTGTGCTCGATCTTGTTGTTCTTTGTGGGCACGAGGCTGTACGTTTATGTGAAGCCGGAGGGGAGTGTGTTCTCCGGTATAGGGCAGGTTTTCGTCGCCGCTTACAAGAAACGTAGGCAGAAGCTTCCGGAAGATTACGTTGACGGGGCCTACTACGACCCGCCCCCTTTGAAGGGGACGGTTGTCAAGAAGCTACCCTTAACAAATCAATACAGGTACGATAATTCGACTTTTTTTTTTTAATTATTATTATTATATTCAATTTCGAACACTCTGGAATAAATTTGTCGATTCGCTAGATTCTTGGACAAAGCTGCGTTAATAATCGAAGGAGATATTCGACAAGATGGATCGAATTCGAATCCATGGAGGCTCTGCGCAATCCAGCAAATCGAAGAAACCAAATGCCTATTCCGAATCATCCCAATTTGGGGATCTGGAATAATCTGCTTCATGGCAATGGCGCAACAGGGCACATTCACACTATCCCAAGCCCTAAAAATGGACCGCCACCTCAGCCCTAATTTCCAGATCCCGGCGGGCTCACTCGCCGTGATCTCCATGGTCACCGTCGGAATCTGGCTCCCGATCTACGACCGCCTCATCGTCCCGGCGCTCAGAAAAATCACCGGCCTCGAGGGCGGAATCAGCCTCCTCCAGCGGATGGGGATCGGAATCGTGTTCTCGGTTCTGTCGATGGTGGCGGCGGGGATCTTCGAGCGCGTGAGGCGAGCCTCCGCCGTGGCGCACGCCGGGCCGGACGGGGTGGCGCCGCTGACTGTATTCTGGCTGGCCCCGCAGCTGATGCTGATGGGGTTCGCGGAGGCGTTCAATATTATAGGGCAGATCGAGTTCTACAACAAGGAGTTCCCGGAGAATATGAGCAGCGTCGCGAATTCGTTGTTCTCTTGTACCATGGCCGGAGCTAATTACCTGAGCGCCGTTCTGGTGAATGTGGTGCACGGTACCACCGGTGGGGACGGCCGCCCTGATTGGTTGACCAGGGATATTAATGCTGGGAGGGTTGAGAATTTGTATTTTCTGATTGCCGGAATGGGTGTGCTGAATTTGGGCTACTTCCTTTGGGTGGCGCGTGGGTACCAGTACAAGAGTAAGTACAGAGTTGACGACGGCGGTGGTTTTGATGATGTTGAGCTCAATGTTGCCGGGAAATGACGTCACTTTTCGTGATTAAGTTTGATTAATATTGTAATATTTAGTGTATACTTATAATAATATTAGTACTTATAATTGTACTCTTTGTAAAGTTGTTACTATAGTTAAATATAATTTGAATAATGAAAGGATTTTCGAGTCCGGTCTAATTAGGCGAATTTTATTTCAATTGTCAAGACTTTATAAATCGAGTTGATCACACATAATTTATCTAATATGATTTATATACATCTCATGGAATATGTTGGGTTATTGCACGAATGGGAATGCAACCTAATGAACGTACATTGTAAATCATAAATTTCTAGTCGGCAAAACATAATAAAAAAACGAGACAAGAGAAATGGGAACATGTAATTATTAGTAATCAAACGAAAGTGAATCACAAACTTCGAGAAATTCTCTAATTCTTCTCTCCCTACACTAAAATCGATTCAAGGGATTAGAAGCTTGTTCTTGGACTAAATAAATATAAACACCTCGAATTCAAATATGTTATGAATTCGAGATGGATGCTCGAGACTTTAAATTGAGAGTCGTCGAATTCAAATATGTTATGAATTCGAGATGGATGCTCAAAACTTTAGATTGAGAGTCGATATGTGTCTGCTTTTTCGAATGCACCGATGTCTCTTTTTATAAGCACGTGCTGGGATTTTGTCTTGTAGTATGGGTCATTGGACTTATAATTCGTCATTTGATTTATATGGGCTAAATATGGGCTCAATTAGTTAATCCAAAAAATAAGAATTCAGTACTTATTTCAAATAATCAATTTAACATATTTATAAAGCCCAAATTTATTGTGACTAAGATTCGAGACCCAAATTAATAATCTATTTATTTGGTTATTAATTGGTGATTTGTCTCGAAATTTTGATGGCAACAGTATAATTGTGACTTGTGAGTTTTTTTTCTTTCTTTAGAGATAATAAATAAATAAATAAACTTAAAAAAGAAAACCTATTCCTTTTGCATCATCTCTAGACGACTTTTATCAATTAATAAGAAATAATATCATGAATAGATATTTCAGCCAATTGGACCAAAATTTCCACTCTAGTGTCATTTTCGCACTGGTAGTCTGGTACACATATTCAACTTGAAAATATATAATTTTTTAATCCGTCTAGTATTATTTTATTTCTATTATATTTCATTTGATAATTTCGTCTATTTAAATTAATTTTCCAACTAAACACGAGCTAAAATAACTATATCTTTTATCTCATCCTATATATTTATATTTTTTTAATTTTTTTTGCCCACGTTTTTTCCCATGTGTTAGAGTATATATAGATGTAGTAAGTGCAATAAACCCTTTAAAAATTAGTGGAACAAATTTTTATTTTATTTTTGGTTAAGAAAAAGTGTATAGTATGTCAATCTACAATTGACTATATCTTTTATCTTCCATACCCAACAGGCAAAAAATAAAACAAAAATGGACCATTTTCACCTATCGAGTAATCAACCTTCGGATACTGCATAAATAAATTTTGTCGCATTTGTCTTCAATATCTGACCATGGAAAGTTTTCTATCCCATCTATGAAACTACCCCACTACACTTGTTGACACTTTATCTTTGTGTTATTTATTTGAAGTGTCTAACCTATTTTTTCTCATTTGGTTTTATTAGGTGACATTAAAGATTCTCATATCACAACCTTAGTTGGGGATTGAGAGTGAAATCGTGATTTATTGTTTTATTCAAATACAATATAGTCTTGATAAATTAATAAACTTGTTTAAATAATAATTTTTTCTGGTTTTGACTCAGTGTAAACGTATTGAATTATTAGTTCGATAATCAGTAATACAGTTTTGTATGTCCCAATTGTATAACTGTAG